TCTCTCATTCATTCCTCTTTTCAATCTTCCCAGAGAGATGAACAAACATTTAAAAGATGAGCGAGACATATGCTGCGGCGTAGTGAGTATCCATTTGACCTAACTCCATTACAGCAGCATTTATTGTGGCATTACCTGATTGATAAAATACCTCTGTAACACAAACATACATCCCCTTTGTTTAAATAAGCCCCGATCCTCACTCAGAAAGAAGCAGAAGCAGAGAGCCGGCCTCGCCAACATATTTGATGACGCTGGCCAGCCGCCAAAAAGGTTATTCATTTGTCTTTTCCAATGTTCTTTAACACAAATCATCTGTCAGACTGTTTCCTGTGTGACAAAGAAGAATTCCTGCCTCAGTGTGTTGTGAAAATCTTGTAATAAAGGAGGAAAAACAGAGGATATCTGATTCTATACACTTACAACAATCAACTAAACTGACTTTTTGTTTAGATGATAAAATCAGAAACATTTGAGTGCTTTGGCCTCCACATTTTCATGTCAGTCAAGTGAATTCATACAGTATATCCTCTGTTTCTCCTTTGTTTTTTAAAGAGCCCCACTGTTGGTGGACGGGTCCTACCAGTCTCTGGAGGCCTTGCCCATAGAGCACCTTCAAATCGTGTTTGTTGCTTCCTCCTCCTGTAGTGAGGATGATACCACCACCACCACGCCCTCCTCTTCCACCACCACCGTTAGCGCCCCTGCATGTCAACAACACCCTGCAGCAAAGAAAAACTCCGGCTTAGCCAACGGTTATGCCAACCCCGCTGCGCCCAAAGCAATTGATGTGAAGGCAAAGGTCAAAAAATCACCCGGCAAGATGGCCGCCGCTAAGAGGGTGACGGGTAAAGACAGAGAAAGAGCAAAGAAAGTGGAGGTTGAGAAGAAGAGAGGGGTAGAAGAGGAGGTCCTGGACAGCCCTCTGGACGGGTGGCCCCTCCGTCGAGTCATCTCCATCGAGGAGGACCACCTGCCCCACCTGCTCCAGGGAGGGCCTCAACCTTTACTGCACCAGCTCAGTGAGGAGGAAGACGAGGCGGGCGATGAGGAGGAAGAGGAAGCTCAGAGTGAAATTGAAACGGGCGTTGTCGCGGCAGCGGGCCTCTCTGCCGTCCCACACTCTAGTCACCCTGCTCCTCCGGTGAGGAAATCCCGCTTTAGCCGCGCCAAAAAGACGCCCGCGTCTCCAAGAGGACAGCCTGTCGGGAAGGAGGCCCAGCAAGTACGTCCACAGCCTTGGAGCTTCAAATATGTTTTGATCTTGAACAAAAATATATGTTCTAACCTGCGGAGAAGTTACCGCAGAGGTAATGAACCATAAAACATTAACCAGGTTAATACGAATTTATTTTTCTGTCTACATCTCTCTGCCTTTGCCTGTTTAATCTTCTTCACAAGGCAAAAGAAGGAGCCCTGTTTGTACCAGACCGTCTGTTTAAAGTGGTCCTAGTTGGCAACTCGAGTGTAGGCAAGACATCCCTGCTACGCTCCTTCTGTGAGGGCCGTTTCCACCCTTCCACAACTGCTACTGTGGGTGAGAAGAGAAACACTGTAATAATATTGTATCGTATGTACAAAAGTGTCTGTTTTCAACTAATTGGAATGGAACATGTGTGTGTGATTGTTTGTGCGGATGCTAACACATAAGATCACAGGGCGACTTAGCATCACATGAAAGGGCTTGTGAAGTCACACTGCCTGTCTAAGAGCCCTGGCACGCATTGTACTGCAGATTATGTCACTTGTGATGAATTTTTCTCCTTGCTTTCATCTTTCCCAAACCTCAATCGAGCTGTGTTGTCTCCACTTTGTCCCCCCCTTTCTTCTCTGAAAGGAGGCAGCGTCAGTATCACACCTCGTGAGACCCCCTAGTGGCCATTTTTGTCTCTGTTGCTCCGTCAGAATGAATATAATCAAATTTAAATTAAATAATTAGAAATGCACCCACATATTTTATCTTTCCACCAATGAATTTAAACAAACAAAATTAAGAAATGATTAATATATTCTGTTTATATTAAGGTAATCTTTGTTGTGTCTTGATTAGGTATTGACTACAGTGTGAAGACACTAACCCTGGACAATATGCAGGTAGCCATGCAGCTTTGGGACACAGCAGGTCAAGAGAGGTGAATTTCTATTTCATTTTTAGATTTAGACAAGTGAAGATGTAGGAGATTTTAACTAAACGAATAAATATATGAGAAAATAAAGTAAAAAATCAACACATAATCAACGGATGTAATATTGAAATTCTTATTAATTATTGTATACCAATGCTACATACACGAGTGTAAATAATATAACGCAAAAAAGTTTTGCAGTATTATGGCAGTACCTCAAAGTATTTCTGTAATTCAAGGTAAAAATTTACATCATTTATATCATTATTTTTGGTGAAAAATTTGAGTGCTTGAAAAATATATTAAAAATGTGATTCACTGTACTCGGGGTACTGGTCCTCTTGTAGTAATTTAGCATACTTATTGTAAAATAAGTAAACTAATAAACAATACTACTTCAAGTGAATGAACACTACAAAGCAACACATAATAATGTATAATTATTATATTTTTTCAAGTATGATTTGATTTATTTCAATGGATTGACTGAAGAAAGTCACTTTTGTTACATGTCAGTTAAAATATATTTTCTACACAGTATTACAGTAGCATTTAGGTGCCCTTCAAATATATAATACTGGTAGTTATGTGCAGTAGGTCAATGTGGTGACAGTCAGACTCTGTCATTGACACAGGTACCGCAGCATAACCAAGCAGTTCTTTCGCAAGGCAGACGGTGTGGTGGTGATGTACGACGTCACGGTGGAGGAGAGCTTCAAGGCTGTGCGACCCTGGCTCATCAATGTCCAGGTCTGACCTTTGACCTAAGGAGATCTTGTTTTCGTCATGTGTGGAGTCAGGAGATTATCGTGGTTTATTTAGCAAACACTGACCGGTTTATATAAGGTTTATATCATTTGTAGTCTTCCCATAATGTTAAAGGAGTTTTTTGTATTATTCCTTGTAGTAGTGGAACATTTTTAAGAGCATTACCCATACTACAGAAAAAAGGTCAGGCTACCTCTACTGCTTCAAATTTGGTCGGTCTCTCACAAATCCACCGACCTGATGGAAGTACAGTTCACAGCAGACATTTTAACTTGTGATAGTAGGAAAGGCATAGATTTCACTAATGACATTAACAACGGCTGTGTCCTATTCAAGTGTCCCAGTAAGCTGTGACAGTGAGCCATCATTGATTTTGGGATTTATGCCTGCAGTTTTCCTGCTGTGCAATGTCTCCTGTGAAAATGGCTTCATTAAATCATAGGGCTACTCTTCTTCAGGATGCAGCAGGAGAAGGGATCCCTGTCCTCCTTTTGGGCAACAAAATGGACATGGATGGCGACAGGGTGGTGTCATTCAAGGAAGCTGAGAGACTGGCTTATGTGAGTTAAATTCAATTGTATGTGCAAGAGTGCAATGAGGCAGTTCCATGTTGATTCTAGTAGACTGCAAGTTCACTGAAACTACCGTAAAACTTCAATAAAAAGCCTGGTCCCAGTTAGACGCCAGTCCCTTTTACTGGCTTGGTGTGGCATGTTTTGACAAATAAAAGCAGGTCTCAATTAGACGCCTGGACTGTTTTTTCATAGAATTTCTTTGGATGTATAAAACCTCTTGCTTGAGCTAGTTCGAAGCTGCTTAGATCGTGCATACAAATATAAATGTTGAAACAATATTTGTCAATATGGACATACTACATATCGTTATATTGGTTTGATTCTGCACAATTGTTTAGTTCATCTTACGGAAACAATGAGCACCAAACTATTATTCATTCAGATTTACTGGTACGGTAAAGGAATTAAAGGCATGTTCCGTATAGATGCCAGAAATATAGGCAGGATGAGTTCAGTGGTTTAAGCAAATAACATCCTGGGCTATTAATTGAAATTTTATGGTACTCATGTTGTTGATTGTAGATATCCCTTAATACTCCGTTTTAATACTGAAAGTTCTGATCATGACCACCAGTGTGTCTTGAATTAGTTTCATGTTTTGACTTTCTGTGCATATCCTGTGTAGGAGAACAAGGTGATGTTCTTTGAGGTCAGTGCCTACACTGGCAAGAATGTGACAGAGTCTCTGACACACTTGGCCAGGTAAGTGTCTGACATAATGGTAAGTAGGTAGGTGCATTTATTTGTCACAATATAACAAGTTATATAGTGAAATTGACTTTTGTAACTCCCTTCTGCTACAGAGCAGACAATATACATTAATAATACAGCGACTATGATATAATGATATACAGCTGTCAAGGAACAAAACATACAGACACACTGCACACCAGTCATCAGATGCATGATGAAATAAAGGAGTAGATGACCTCTTTTGCACTTACTACCTTTTGTCAGGAGTTTGGTCATGCAATGTTCTTTCTCTATCTTGACTCAGAGTGTTAATGGAGCAGGAGGACAGGGTGAGAGACACAACAGTCATCCTCAGTGCTCAGCCCGTAAAGAAGAAAGCCTGCTGCAAGTGAAGTGTATACTTTATTTACTGACTTATTTCTGGACATTGGACTTGTTTTAAGACATTGCAATGAAATCATTCTCGGACCTTATCACTGAATGAAAGTGTGTCTTCATTTTGGCCCTGAAATGTGCTACATGAACAGGTGTGTTACCCTGTGTGAATGTGAAAACTACTGTCAAGCTTAAATGATGAGGCTCGGGGGAAGAGCTCGTCTTAAGTGAACGAAATAAGGTGCTGCAGCATTTCCTGTAAACAATGTTGCCAAATCGGAGTAGTACTGTGTGTTAAAATAGAAACATATTCTGTACTATAATTACTTTAAAATATATATATATATATACGAGGATCGGGGCTATATACTGAAGCTTTTTCATGACTGGCTTACAAGTTAATTTCTCTGTTTTTTGTCTGGTTTGTCTGTTTTAAATGAAAATCATGTTAGAAAAATCAGACTTGATTCTTTGATATTTTATTCATCATCGTGTTCATCTTTTTCCATTCTTTTTGTTTGTCTGATCTCCAAGACAAAGTGATACATGACATATTGCATCTGTGTTTGTTGCTGTTCTGAGGCTTTGTTCTGTTCTACTCTGGCACCAAAGTACAGTTGCTCAGAATTGTCTCTATTAAAGAAATAAACAAATTACATTTTACATCTTTCTAAAACCAATGAAGCAAAAACAGTTCACATGCAAATAATAAATAATAAAATAAATCACAATTGATTACTGTACCTTCTACACAATTATACAGTGCATTATATATCTTAATAAATGACTAAAGGAAAAACAGATAATGACTGTGCTGTAACCCTCTTAACATCACACAGATCAATGCTTTTCAGTTAGCTGCACTTACAATATTAAGACTCACAAATGCTTTTCATTTTAGACTCAAAAATGTAACATTTCCAGAAACAAGTGAGAGAAAAGAAAAAATCAAGTTCGTTTAGGATGTTACATTCAACGATGTGCCCGAGTCGATCAAGTTGGTACAGGTGATGGCACTATTGCTGATAGATACTTTCCTATTCTGATGACATCACTTAGGTGCTGGCATGATGGCATCCAATCTGATGCGTCTGGTCTGGTCGCCCTCGCTGGCCACTGGAATGCTTGTTGGAGAGGCTGTGCCCACTCCCTCCTCTCCAATTGGGTCCCGAAGGGCTGAGGGTAGTTGGTTGTTTTTTGTTGTTCCTAACGCATTTTGTAGTCGTGGGAAATGGCGGCCTCACACAGTTGTCCCTTAAAGTCTAGCTCTAGGGTGAACTCCAGGTCACGCTAGAAAAGATAAAATGATAACCAAAAAATTAAAGCTGGGGTAGGCAATTTGTTTTTAGAAGCATTTTTTTGTTATATTTGTTGAAATTCTCTTTACATCCTCACAGCAATTAATAAATCGCTCTGACAGAAAACTCCAGTATCAAGTATCAGCCAATCATTTAATTCTGACGGAAATGAGCGTCCTACCTGCCTGCTTACCTACGTGCATTCACTGCGCATGAAAATGTGTTTTTGAGGAGTGGCTTTGGAGGGAGGCCTGAAGGGAGGATAGTTTCAAAATCTAGCTGTCTCTTGCCAGTTCTCCGATGTTACCTGACCTAGCTTTAATGACAGAAATATCCACTAGCCAAATAAAAGCTTCACACAAAACAAAAACTGCTTTAAAGCTATTTAGATGCAGTGGTGAAATTCAACTAAGTACATTTAGTACATGCTCTGCATTTAAATACATGTTCTACTGTACTAATGCTTAGGTACTTTTACCTAAATGAATAGTGCAACATTTAGGGAAATAAGTAGAAGATTGATACCACGCTCTTGTCCGTAGCTATATATGAAGCTACCGCTGCAAGTTAGTTAACCTTAGCCAAAGTTTTTAGAATATTTACTGTTGCCTGGCAAATGGTCCCAGTCTAGAAAAAGTCTACCACATAACCCCACAATAAAACAGCAAATTCTTATTGTCTACCTTATATGGGACCTTGCTTGCTGTTTCCCCAAGTTTCCAGTCTTTGTGCTAAGCTAAGCTAACCAGCTGCTGGCTGTAGCCTTATATTTAATGGACAGAAATGAGAGGGGTATGACTCTCCTCATCTAAATCACACAAATTTTGTGCATGTTTCTTATGAGTCTTACCACATTCTTTTCATTGGGCCTGACAGCAATACTGCCAAAGATCTCCTCTCCCTTCTTGACAGTTAAGTAGTCCTCTAAGTAAAACACTGTCTGTTTCCAGTGTGTGCTGGCAGCATCTGGAGCTGAGGTAGAGGAAAGGAGAAGTGGAGGGGGGTAATATATGTACATGAGCAAGAGGGAAACAGGAAAAGGAATGAAAAAGAACATGATACAGAGTAGAAAGAAGATACGGTGTAAAGAGGTAAGGGGTAATGAAGAAAGGAGAGGGAATGAGGAAAAAAAGAAGCAGGAAAGAGAAGGGGAGCGTGAGAAATTATAAAATTTCCAAATGTACTGGTTCCAGTGGGTACTCAGCTCCCTTGGGGATGTTAACATGGGAGAAATTTAATAGCAAAGAGGCTGAAACTCACCCATTGGGAGAAATAAAGAGGCTGAGAAGAGAGAACTCCTTCAGTGATGCTCAGCCTCAGGCCCGACAGACTCAGCCAAACATAGAACCTCCTCTACACAACATTATGTAAGCACTGGATGCATGAATGCATTAAAATAAGCTTACATAACAGCTCAGATCCTCTCTCTATAATAGGAGTCCTCAACGCCACGTTACCAGAAATGCTTGGTGATTCCGCTGATTCCAGGTTGGCTCATGTCACACCAGCAGAGTGTAGCCAAGAGCTAAAATGCTGAATGTAGTAGCTTCCTTTTAATGGACATTGATTTACTGCTAAAAAAAAACCAAAAACGCTTCTGCTCAAAGGATTTCAAATGAAATTTGGAACCCTTGTGGGATAGGATCAGGCACTCATCACTCTCCTTTAAATTTCATTCACCCATGTCCATTTACCCATTACCATTCACGGATGCTCAAAGTATGCAGAGCTGCATAATGACTGTCCATATTTTATAATGTTTGTGATATACAATAGATGTTGTAGTTCTTTTTTTTCGTTATTGTCATAAAAATATTATCAAATTCAAGAGTAAATTTGCCAGTTAACTTCTTCTGATACCTAAATAATAATATTTATTTTTTTTATATTTAGATAAAATTTTATCTCCATCTCTTAAGGCTCCATAGACCAGTTGGTTGGAGGAATTGGTTCACATTGATTGATTTATTCTTGGCTCAACCAGAAGGTTCTGGCAACATTTTATGCATTTTGGACAAATGAATGGACAAATCCCCATAAATGTGTACGACATCACAATGTTCAGATTCCCCGGTTGGAGGCAGAACTCTCAGAGACAGATGGGTGAACAGACAATCTTAGGTTGGCACTGTAAAAAAGTAAGAAATTACTAACCAGTGGAGAAGCCAGTCTTTTTGTGACACTTGGTGAACTCAATGTTGAAATAGGTGACCAGGGCGTGGACATAATCGTTGCGCTGGATCTGCAGACAGAAGGCCGAGGTGAAAGACAGGTCCTCTGGCTTCACAGTGTAGATGTCCACTTCCTGGGGGGGAAAGGCAAAAGATAACATATTTAGCTTTTTTTGTAAAGACTGCTTTCATGACATCTCTGGGCTTTTCCGGTTCATGAAATGTCATGCCACAGTACAACAGCACACCACTACGTACAAGCACATACACGCACAAGTTGTCACCCCCGCTTGCCATCCCTCACACACATGCGGTACAAGTATATGTCAAACCCTTCTTGATTATTCACTATGCTTATTGTGTACGTGTGTGTGTATGTGTGTGAAAGCCCACAGGTTGAATCACGACTGGCAAACAAAGCCTGCTCACAGTACACATGCTGTGTGGGTGTCCTCCCTCAAGTCTACAAGGATGGGAGGCTGTGTGTGTGCATGAGTGCATGTACATGTGAACACAGCGTCTGTGTGTTTGCTTGTGTCTATTTCAAGCACTGCCCTATGAATATGGCCACAAATTTAAGTATCACATTTTGTTACCTGGCAGGCATCACTGCAGGTCCAAAGTAGGGGCGGAGCAGGTGTGCCTCTGCTTTGCATGCAGATGATCATGTATATAAGAGGACGGGGGGGAGGGATTTTAAACTGCAACCTGTTCATATTGCATAGCCTATTGGGCTTCCGATCGTCCGGGCCATGTGGTGTCAGCATGACAGATTGTGATTTAACACCTCTGTCCTTTCCAATGATACCAAGGCCAGCATCATATACAGCAAATTGTAGGAGGAGAGAAAAAAAACCCCGGGAGCAACTTTGTAATTTTAGAGTGTGAGGAATGAGTGGCAGTTTGAATTAAGACGGGGAGACGTGGCTGGCAGCAGGGGGAAGGGGTGAACAAGGCCTGAATATGTAGATGTGAAAGAGATACAGACACTGAGAATTCATTTCCAGGCCAGCATGTCGCTAACTAATAACCACCCTCCAAATGAACACATACATCACCTTTCTGAACACAAAGGAGGATTGGTGCTTTTCCGATTGATAGGGGGCCCGTTTCATTCCCACTGGTGACTCAGTGCCTGCTCTTGTGTGACATTTCACCATCGCACAGAGGGAGAGAAAGAGTGAGACCTCCCTGTTCGCTCAAACTGGTGAGGCCTGACATTGTTTAAATCAGAGAATGTGACAGAAGGGTAAGAAGAAGTGAGTGAATGAGAAGGAAAGACTGGGAAATTTTACTACAAAATTATATTAGACAAAAGAAGAAGAAGAAAGAATGAAGGTTTGGGAGACTCAAAATTGAAAAAAAAAACATGAAAGGAAGCAGAGAGAAGAGACTGTTAAAGAGGAAAGAAATGAAAAGAAAGGTAGAGGGGGGGGGGGGCTATCACCTCCCTGAATGCTCTTTTCCTCTGTTCATTTGTGAGATGAAAGACAAGCCACTGTTGTATCTTCAAGCATGACAACAGAGCCGCAGACTATTACAGCTCTCGAGAAACCCTCTATAATGTACTAAAAAATAGTTTCAGCAGATGGGGTCTGTTGAGAGACTCTGGAATTGATAGCTGACTTTTTATTTAGGAATTCACGCAGTTGGTAGCAGAACACAAAAGATCGAAAACATTGCTTGACATATACACATGGGATAATACAATATAGTATGAAAGGCAAATTCTTGAGGTACGTTCGCACTCCTACATCATGCATGTATTTGTACATCAGGACACAGACTGACCTTTAGGAGGCAGGCGTTCGTCACCACCTGCTTGGGATCTACCACATCCACCAGAGGCTCTTTGATGGCCACATTGCGAATGCAGCTCATGTCGAACCCATACACATTCTCCCACCCTGTGCATACACAGACATAAATATCTAAAGTACAACACCCATGTGAATACAAATGCACACAGTATGTACTTTCTGGATTTTTACTTTCTGAAGTTTCATACACTTGTGAAGCTCTGTTCTCTGCCAAGCTGTCAGCACACACACACACACACACACACACACACACACACACACACACACACACACACACACAAAAAGGTAGCAGAGAAAATAAAACAAAGCGCTTAACCCTGCCAGGAAAAACAGTCCCGCGCTCATGCTGTCTTTCTGTCTATCCAGCTCCTATATGTGGAGAAAGACAAGCCCTCCTGAAAATAGACACCGGCCTCCTCCGCCTCCTCCACCATGTCTGGCAGGCTTTTTTATTATAATTTGGGCTGAAAACATACCAAGCAGGCTTTCCCTCCCCCATTCCCTCTGTCCCTCCACTCCACCTTGCTTTGTCAGGGGGCCAAACACTAAGTCTGAACGATGAGAAGGTGGAATGTGCCACCGACGCAGAGGGAAACTAAAAATAAGCGCACAAGGGTTTGGGTACACTTAAATCTTTTGGGAATTTATGTGAAAGTATGTACTTTTATGTGCACGTCTAGATGTAATAGAACAGAGAAGGCCCCCTGTGCAGTATAAAGAAAACTCAGTAGTAGTCATTAACCCAGATTCTGTGTGAATGGCACCTTTAATATTAGTGCCCTGATCTGGATCACAATGTTAAGCTCAGCACTCCTGCTGTTATAGCTATTTGAACCCAAATAGAGCAGAAAATGTACTGAAGGATAAAGGCACCTCACTGGTTTAAATACTTTTGGTACTACTTTCTAATTAGGGTTTCTATGTTGGAACTAATGGCTTTATTAATGGTTAATAAATACTTTTTATTAGTTTATATATCAGTAACATGCTGTTAGTATATATAATTTTGGTTGTCAGGTTGTGAAAAACACTTTTGGCTAGCATAACTTGCTTTGTCTTTTTAGCTAGCTTACTTTTACATTTACATTTACATTTCAACCACTTCTACAAAAGGGCTGCTGACTGAAATCCATTTGGTTATCAACACCTAACCTGAAGGATTATTGTGGAGATACTCTTTATTATTAATTTACTATCATTAATAACTGCAGACCTGATGGCTTAGTAAAATGTGACAACCCCTGACCTTTTATTAATGACTTACTCATTTCTCACAGTATAAAACTTCAGCCAAACTGATTTTTCACAACCTGGCAACCTACATGTTGTCCTTCTTAGTGGCTTATTGCTGGCCAGTAAAGCCTTAAAGCTGCTCTAATTAATATTTTATATTAACAAAGGATTGTAATTTAAAATGGGTCACTCATAATTATGAACTGATCCAACTTTACAGTTCCCCTCAGCTCTATGGAGCATATTAGCGTCTTTCAGCTCATTGTTTCGGTTTTACGGCCCCTCAACTTCTCTGTCTTAAATTCGTCTCCCTGCTCTCATTAGAGACAGGCAGCTTTTCTCAGCTAAAAGCTCTAATGCTACCTGTCCTGCACCAAACAGTAGACAGACAAAGGTTTGTGTCCCAAAGTGGACTATTTCATATCTAATTTGAGTTTGATTTTACTTCATTGGCACATTGGTCAGTAATTTTGCACTACACAGCTGAGAGGGCAACAGAAGAAAGCAATGGGTTAGCAAAAACATATACATAGTTACTCACAATGAATCTTGAAGTCCTTGTACTGTCTGTCTTCAATGGCTACCACATAGAGAGCTGCTCTGTCAGGGAACATCAGACCTCCAGGTTTCTGAAGACAAGAGAAGCTTCAGGAATCATCACACACACACACATGCGCGCAAAGGCCATCCATCAGCTTTATTGTTCACACACCTGGCATGTAATATAAGATCACATGCGCAGAGTTTAAAGCATGTTTGCAGCTACTGAGGTTAGAAACCAGATCATTCATATATGTCAGCAGCTGTGCAGCAGATACAAGCACAAAAGCGTACAGTAAATCCTCTACTCTGTCACTGTCTGGTGTGTTTATGTGTAAAATCCTTATTTGTCCAGCCAGCTACACACACACACACACACATTAAGCCCAGCCCTCCCCAAGCCTCCAGCAGCATACCAGCCACTTGTCCCTGGCAAAGATGACGGTGTTGAGCATGGACTCGTAGAACAGGCAATAGCCCATCCACTCTGAGATGATAATGTCCACCTTCTCCACAGGCAGCTCCACCTCCTCCACTTTGCCCTTGAAGATGGTAATGACTGCGGTGTGTAGAGCCACAAAACAGCAAGCAACAAATTACTTCATGGCATCTTCATCACATTAATGCAAATCGGACAATGATTATATTCTCAGATGACTGTGAAGTTAGTACAGCTTAATTACTGCTCATTGCATCACGGTTATGTTATCTAATTGCTTCTACCTGAAGTCCCTTTTAGGTCAACTTAGACCCATTCTTTTCCTTAGTTATGTGTGGAAAAAAAAGCGTGTATATACTGTAGAATTATTATTTTTTACTAAACTGAGAAACACCTTATTAAAATAAACACATTGTCTCTGCACGGGTGTTTGTACATTCAGCACAGTCACTTTTAACCACTCTGTGGAAAAAAACAAATGCATATAGCATGCATGCTTTCTTTGTAAACAATTCAATTACAGGTAATATTGCTGCATTTTGTACTTGTTTATTCATAATTAATAACAAGTATTGTGCTGCATTGCAGTTGCAGTTAATATAAAGGATGAAACAAAAAAACTGCCTAATATCAAATGTGCAGTTTATGAAACCCAACATCTGTTGCCAGTCCTTCATCTGTGAATTCAGAGTGGCATTTTACAGCACCACTGATTCTGATTGATGACAGGAGGTTATTTGGCATCAGAGGTGAGCTGCCAGTTAACCATCAGAACTGTGACTAATATTGTCGGGTGTGACGGTAATGATGGAAATATGCAGAGTTTTCACGCTACTTCTAAGTCAAATGTCATCGCAATGTTCTGCGTTGAGACAGCTGAATGTAAGTATAGGATTTACAGAATTAATAGAAAACCACCTCAACTTACCATTGTGTAGGTGATTTGACTTGATGATCTTCTCTGAATATTCAGATATACTTGAACATTCAATCTGTAAGCACAAAGACAAAACAGCAGATCTGGTGTCTTCTCGACAAGAAAGTGTTGAATGTTTGTTGCAATATCTACATTGTTTATAGGTTTAGCTTTTCAGAACAGGCACTTTTCAGTATTTTAATATTTAATAAACACATTTTATATTCCTTAGTTGAAGGACCAGCAATGGTGTTAGCTACCATTTTCCCTCCACATAAACAGCAGGTTAACCTTAGTGGTAATAACGGAAGGACAAATTTAATCTCATCCTTCTAATCCATCTAAACAGTATTGTCCCTGTCGCTCATCTCAGGGCCTGTGCAGCATGAAAACCAATACATCATTTTGCTCTCCCATCCATAAGTGTAATATAGTAGGCTATATGAATCATAATGTCTAATGTGACTTACAGCCCTGCTCTTAGAGGAGCCAGATGTCTCTTGTTGCCTCTGTGTGTTTGAGAGGGATTAACAATTTCTGGACACAAGAAACTGGCCCTTAAGAGGAATTTTAAAAAGGCAGGGCATGTATGCGTTTGTTATGGAAAAGGAAAGGCCAGTGATGAGAGATATGTGACGGCGGAGCCAGATAGACATTAATTTGGACACCGAAAATGTGTGCGGCTTGTCTCTCTCATAAAGACGTAAACAGAAGCAGAGGCTGTTAGATGATCATAATGAAAAATGGGGAGTATTTGTTCGTGGTCAAAGGGTGTTTCTATCTGTCTCACCCCATACACGTGCTTGGCGCCGGCATTGGCGGCAAACATAGAGAGGATCCCTGTGCCGCTACCAACATCCAGGACGATTTTATCTTTGAACACATGCTTGTTGTGGTACATGGCGTTCCGGTAGGTCAGCGTCCGCACCTCGTCCTTCAGCATCTCCTGTTTAAATTAGAGAGAGTTCATAGCTGCAATACATAATGATTTTTGCAGTCTTGACTAACATGAAGCCATTATAGTTTCTATACAGAACCAGTATAGACTACCTGACGAATAGTGGATTCCTAAAAATGCTCAAAGGAATACATAACACACAAAATGTTACATTTCATTGCTATGCTGATGATACTCTATAGCTATATCTAGGGCCGGCTGATTCAAATCAGTTAGCCAAACTTCAAGTGTGCATCCAAGATGTCAAACCCTGGATGACCTTTAATTTCCTCATGCTTAACTCAGACAAAACTGAAGTTATTTTACTTGGGCCCAAACAACTTCGAGATATGTTGTCCAACGACATTGCTACTATGGATGGCATCGCCCTGGCCCCCAGTACCACCGTGAGGAACCTGGGAGTTATTTTCGATCAGGAAATGTCCTTCAATCTGCATGTTACGCAAATTTCAAAAACTGCCTACTTTCATTTATGTAACATTGCTAAAATCAGGAACATAATGTCTCAAAATGCTGCAGAAAAACTGGTCCATGCTTTCATTACTTCCAGGATTGACTATTGTAATTCCTTACTAGCGGGCAGCAAAATTAAGCCTCTAAAGCCACTCCAGCTGATCCAGAATGCAGCAGCGCATGTTCTGTCTAAAGTCAAGATTAGAGAGCATATTTCTCCAGTTCTAGCCTCCCTTCACTGGCTCCCTGTGAAATACAGAATAGATTTTAAAATTGTTCTACTTCCCTCAAAGCCTTAAATGGCCAGGCACCATTGTACCTCAAAGAACTCCTGATACCTTACTGCCCCAGTAGAGCACTGCGCTCTCAAAATGCAGGGCTAATGTAACTAAGGTTAGAGTGGGACAAAGAGCATTTAGTTATCAAGCGGCACTACCATGGAGCCAGGTTCCAATTTGGGTGCGGGAATCGGATAACATCACCACCCTTAAGGCAAGACTTTAGACTTTTCTGTTTAATAAAGCTTTTAGTTAGGACAGGGTTGAGCAAACTTTAAATTATTATAAAATGTTATCATTTTATTATTTTATTTAGTTGATTTTATTCTGATTGTATTTTATTATGTGTTTTATTACATGCATTCTGTATTTTATGGTTAATTTTATTTAATTTCCATGCATTTTGTAAAGTGTATTGGGACTATGTCTTTTGGTGATTTTGCACTTCAAATAAAACTTGACTTGACTTGACTAATGAACATACAAACGTGTATACTTTATGCTAAAAGCAGGCAGTTGCATGTCCTCCTCAGCCTGTGAATACATATTGTGTTTAGTGTATAATGAGGTAGATAAGGCACTATTTAGGCCAAAAGCCTCTCCGACATTGGCAGAGCTTCTTGAAATAGATAGGAGTACAACACAAAGCCTTTGGGGGCCTGATATCCATCTCGCTGAACCCATTCACACATCCCACTTTCCATTTCCTTGCTTTGCACTCCTATAATCAGGACACTCTCTTTGTCTGCAAGTAGACAAAAACCTGACCCACATGCTAAATTTGGACACTGTTTAAAAAGGTCTATATGTCCCCAAACCTTTCCACCACCACTCCTCCACAGATCAAGGTCATTGGCTAGGGTATAGCTCTACAGTTTCATTTAGCAATTTACTGTTCATGACAAAGACAAACACAGATTTTCATTTATGGAGCACTGTACAGGGACTATTACTGTGCATCTGGTGTCTTTAGTGCTGGTTGGTAACGTAAAAGCTTTTTCTTTAGTCAGCTAGGAGACAATCAGACAATGCAGATAATTCAGCAACTTTCGATTTCCCTGCAAGATATTGTTCTTAAAATGTAACATTTTGTTGTTTGTAGGCCAACAGATGCCTCTGAGGGACATGTTCGGAGAAGATTTTATTTTGGGGGGGAAATTAGGTTACATTTTGATATTTAAAAAAAGTGTTTTTTTAAGAGGTGCTATTTGCAGCTTTAAACTTTAGGCTTCTGGGAGATGTCATCGCGTTTTAATTGTGTTTGGTTTCATACTTTGTTAAAACTCTGCCTGGATCCTTGTTTTGCTGTGTTTGGGTTTAAACTTGGCTTTTACACTGTTAATTTACAATTTATTTTCAGATCCATGAACTGAGGATTTGCAATAGGTTCTTAGCTATGGAGAAAACATCATCTATGCCAGAAAAAAAGATTTGGATCGCTACCAAAAGGTAGCGATCCAAATCTTTCATATCTTCCAAATCAAAGCCTCTGTCCATGTCATCTGTTAAGTGTTAAGTCAGCCACAGTTTTTTGACAAATCCTGCTGACTGAAAGCCAGAAAAACCCCCCTGGCAAGTTAAGGAGCATCAGGTTTGACAGAATAGGAAGCATCTGGTGTCATTCGTTTACCCTGGCCATACCAAACCTACCTCATGGATGCCAAAGTGGGCGTAAGAGTCGAAGTAGTAGTCCCGTGATGTCATCTCCTCCGGGCTGAGGAATTTGGCAATCTTGCCTCGACCAGGACAGGTGGCCAGGGCCGCTACATGAGGCGTATGGGGGATGCAGGGCACATGGTGGGTAGTAGGCACTGGTTTAGGCAGTGGGGAGGGCTGGGCAGATTGAGAGAGGGGGGATGTGACAGGCTGCTGTCGCTGTTAATGAGAAATAAGAAAGGATAGGGGGAGTGTTCGTATCAGGATTTATAAATTACAGACAAGAATGAGGGGAAAGCAAGGGTAGGCTACTGGAAGATTACAGAGTGGACCTGCCTATTGGTTAATATGTGGTTGATAAAAGCAGATTCACAGAACTGAAAGCCAAGAGGGATTCATATAACAAGTAGTCAAACATTCACAAAAATTTTAGGGCTTTGCCATTACACAGCCAGGAGACTGGGTGAAGAGCCGGCAAAAGGTGCAGGTTCCGTTTCAGCACCAAGGACAGCGGACATAACCACGTCCAATACGTCCATGCATTCCCAATTTGATCATTTAATCTAACTGCAAATCTTCCACATGCATTATCACTATTATTGCAATTACGGCGCTCTACTTTGGTCACCTATAACAATTGCAGGATTTCACTTTTCCTTTGCTCGCTCGCCATCAGAGTGCAACGCTGATTATAAATGCGGTTGCGATGATAATAAGAAAAACAAAGATGTACACATACTATTGAATTCAAATGTGTTATAAGCATACAAAAATAACCAGACTGAGAGTGTCCCGGTCCCGCTGTTACCGGGTACAGGACACCACAAGGTCCCTACCTCGGAGCTGTCCGCCTCCGCCATCTTCCGCCGTAGCAGCAAACAACGCGACGAATGCCTCAGTCCCATGAGAGCCGGCGAGATTTTAGGCTACAACTCTTAGAAGTGTACGGAGGATCTAAATTATTAACAGAAACCTGTCAAAAAGAACACTAAGCAACCGAATGTGTGGCTGGAGCACACGTCAAGATGAAAGTCATAATAAGAAATGTGCAGATGTCACAGTTTCGACCAAATTAAATCCACTCCCCGATAAAAGTTGTTAAATGGATGTGCGCGAGGTGACATGTACAGTAATCCATACTGTAAATGTGATACAGGTTGTTTTAGTGGGATGACTCAGGATGGCAGAGTCGTCTATTTGCTGGAGAGACTGTGCTGCTGACTAAAAGGTTGCAGGTTTGATTACAGCAGGAGTCACCGTGTCCATCAGCACCCGTGCGCCCCGTTTAGGTGTCCTCGCGCAAGCCTTTGAAGCCCTACCTGCTCACTCATTTTAAATGTCTGCGAAAGATCGTATCCAAGAAAATATAAAGTGTCACCCAGGACCGAAAAAAAAGGCACCCAGCTGCGCGCTACTGGCAGAAACTCCACACCAGAAAACGCTTCTACTTCACTTGGAGACACTTGACATGTCCCAGCAATCTACGTCTTCGCGTGCGCTGTGGAAAGTCCTTTGCGTATGTCCCGACGGGTTTTCCCGGAGAGAAAGTTGAAAGGGGGTTGAAACTGTGAGCGTGCGCCGCCGTTCCACGTGAGCCTCTTCAGATGACATGAAATGGATCGTGGCAAAACTACTGTAATAACAGTCACAAAAAGGGACTAAATCTCTGCTTCCCAAAGACAGCTGACTCCTCACACCAGAACTCCGACAGAAGCAGCCCTCAGGCAACCAATGAGCGTCTCACCTGCTTGCTTATATAATATAGGTGTTTTATGCGTTGGGGGGAAAATAACAGACTACGATATGTCAATTTTGTTCATCTGATAATATAGTTCTTTTGAACTACAGCTAAAGAAAGTGATTTGGCATTCACATGTTAAAATAGCCTATTGCTGACCATTTCCGGTGATATAGGCTATTAATATTTCAATTAAATACAGGCACATAGGTGTGAGGTTTTAAGTTATACAGATGCTCTTTAGTGGCTTAGAATTCAACTCATCCAATCAGAATCGAGGACCCGTGTTATAAAATTAACCAATGAGAGTCTAAGATGCATTTTTTTATTCATGTCATAGCTACATTGTTACTTGAAGGGAGTTTAATAAGTTTGTCTTTCATAGTCAGCTATGTGTGGCATAGGCTACATTACTTTTCTTGAAAAGATGCTATCCCCAGTAGCCTACAATTAAAAATGACAAAAGAACAACACTACCACATAATAAGTTATTATTATAGGCCTATACCTTACTACCACAGACCTACATACAGTGAAGATATAGACACATTAAAGGGTAAATTAGCACTGTCATCCATTCTTATGAACAGGAAAATAAATTGCATGTTTTTCTGTTTAACAGGTATAAAAATAATCAGAGCATGTTGCTTAGCAAAAACAGATCGACACTAGTGTAGGCTACTTTGTAGTGAAAAGTAACTCAAAGTACTATAACTCAAGTACTACACTGCTATAGTGTGTTGTTGCTACTTATTTGTTTCACCTCTGAACTTAACCTTAAAGAAAATATAACTTAATCATGACACCCCTAGAGGTTTAGCTCAGGTGTGACTGGATACTAATAAGAGGGAAATTCAAATATGTGGTTTATAGCAATATTATAATTGTTATTGGGGAGTTTTTTAACACTCGACTCTATGAAAAGTTAAGTGTGTTGCCCTCTTTCTACATCCCAATCAGTGAAGTCACAGCAGGTGCTTCTCACTGGCTGCTAAAGGCAAAACACCTACTGTGTCATCACTGATTGTGGTTCAAAATACAGCATGTTTGCATTTTGAATCCGTAGAAAGTGTCATGATTGCTGAATGCCGCCTCATCGGTCTGGTAGTGAGAGATATCACTAAAATAAAAAAGACTTAAACTTAAGACACGAAGGATTTTTGTTGGAATTTCCACCCCTTACACTGATAGTGTAAAAGGAACATAATGCGATTTTACATCCACACAATATGATACATTTATATGCACACTGCATACCGCCTTCCTTCTGGAATATATTTCAATATACTATATCTCCTTCTTCAGGATTTCCAGACTTTTAATGAGTAGTGTACCTTTTTCATTAGTTACTTGCTCACTCGTTTTATACTCATTTTATAAGGATTCAGTAGTAACCTACTTAAAAAAATATCACAAGATATTTCTCACTAAAGAGAAATGGGCTTGTGTCCCATTAATGAAATCCAAATACAATGAAACACCAGGTTTTAGTCACAGTTATGGATGAGCTCCATCAGCGGTGCTTAAGAACATCGGCCCACGCATCACACTCGAGAATCATGTGTGCATCCACTCTATCTTTCACATACACACAAATCAGTGTGGGGGCAGGATCACATAGGCAGGAGTAAAAGCAGTGGGCAGACCGCTATTGATTGACTTACAAGCCTCACAAAGTAGGTAACATGTCAAAGACCAGTTTCATTATACACCTAAATTAATAAAAAACTGCAAAGAGCAAGAGCTCACTGAAACTGACTTCTAGTGGCGTCTTAGTAGTTAGATGTAGTTTAGGTTACCTAAATGTCACTAATTGAAACCCCTCAACTTCTAGTGGTGGTCATGGCTGCTCTTGTCCTGTGATCCCCTTAGTAGGGAAATGTGCATAGACACTATTGGCTCAAACAAGGCTTGTAAATGCCTAAAGTCTTGTGAAAAATTTCAAAATGACACAGAGATGGGTCACTAGGAGGCCATTACCCTGTACAATGTTACATTCCTGTGAGTTCTGCCCACATTGCACACTAGAGAGTTGTTTGAGTGCTTTATAGCTACGAGTTTAATATTGTGACGGGGCTTCTAGGTAGGAATGGCACTAGAAAATCAGTCCAAGTATTTAGTTTATTCATGCCCATTTATTAAATGTACAAATGCTTCATTTCAAGTCACTGTGAATTAAAAGAAACCAGCAAAGTGAAGAAAGTATACGCACTGGTCTTTCCCTCCCAGTGGTGCACCTTTCTGTAATTCTCCTTCTGACAAATCACAGTCAGGGTAGTGGCTGTTTATACAGGATGTCTTTATTCAAAAAGCAAAACAAGTCTAATGTGATTTTGCAGGAATGACTTTTCTCTATATTTCAACATTCAAGATATGCATGACAGAGCAACAGAATATCTTACATTAACATAACATTGTGATAAATGACAATGATTACCTCATCCATCTGATAATATTACTGTGCAACTTTAGTGTCATCAGTTTACATCTACACATATCAGTAAAGCACGTGTCATTCTTCTTTTATGTATCCAAAAATTTAGAAAACATTTTAAATATTAAAGAAGCCAGTTTGATTACCAATATGACATTTGGAAGTAGCTGTTCCTATATTGATAGATTTGTTAAGTGGATGAAAGAGACCAATCAATTCTTCTGTGGTCTTTAAAGGAGGACCACTGGAACAAACTCAACGTGTTACAGGGGTTATGATGAGGAGGGGCAAAGGTTGTTCCATTCATGTTGCCTTGAAGGCAGAAGTATGGGTAAAGTTTTTTCTGTAAAAAGGTAGCCAGAGAAGGAGTACATATGTGATTTAGAATTCACATCATCCACCTTCTTAAGCTTTTCTTTCAGTGTGATTTCAACACTTGGCTCTGTATTGGCACTATATTTACCCTGAGTAAGCCCAGTGGTCCAGTAGCCATTTTCTACCGACAGAGCCATGTCTGTCTTTCTGTCAGCAGACTCTCTGACCACCCCAACAACCCAGTCGGTCTTCCCTTTCACTTGCACCTCATAGTAAATATTCTCTGTATATTCCTTTGTCAAAACCTCTAGACACAGTTCAAACCTATTTGGATTGTAGGGAAGGTTCTTTGCTGCGCCTACATTTGTCACTTGTTTTCCATCCTGGCTTATGACAAGTGTGCAACATGTGGTGTCAGGGTCAAGAGTCAAGTCCACCGCATGTTCTCTCATTCTTTTCATTTTGATCTCAGGAAGCTTTTGGTTATTTCATCAACTCTCTGTTTCAGCCGAGTCACAGCACCTCACACGGCCTCAAAAGTCAGATCACTGCGGACGCCAGTGTTGGCCCAGTCCTTGTTTAAAGGAGACCACAAGGTTGGAAAGCTCTGGAGAAAGTGATGGTGATCCTCAGACTTTGACAGGTGCTCCAACTGGCTGCTTCTGCTTTTAAGCTCGGCGACTTCCATCTTCAGTTCTTTGATAAAACATTCAGCCTTCTCATAGCGCGATTGTATCATCTTTTGGATATTTGCCATCTTCTTTTTGCTATCACTGTCACTATCATATACTTCGTCAAGTGGGACAAAATTTTGGCTTTTGTGATGTTTTTTATACACAAGACACAAATACAGGTGCGGTCAGTCCTGCAGTATAGTTCTGTTTTCTTGTTGTGCGTCTCGCATATCCTATCATCAAGATTCTTCACAGGGTCTAATAATGTGTGGCTCTTGAGACCAGTAACTCTCTGATGTCCACATGGTGTTGAGACTGGCTCATCGAACACGTCCAAGACAGACAGAACACAGGAACTTCTCCTCTGACAGCAGACTGCTGGCAGTTGCCATATCTGGACAAGAATGAATAAGTTAAAATACAAAACACATACAATTTAACTGCATGGGCTGAATAATATGTTGCTTTATTTTATCATATATGCCACAAGAATCAAATAAAGGAAAGGGAATAAATGAACTACACTGGCTGAATCCAAATGTCCACCCTCTGGACTTGCAGACTGATGCTGCAATCAATTGCATGTCGATAGTTCCGAGTGGGTAATCCTGACTTCTGATCTAAATGTGTCCCAGTGATCTGCTCAGGAAAGCAGCAAACGGATGTTTGTATGGCAAGTCTCAGAATTGCAAAAGCATCAATCTGTATCAATTTTCAAAGGGCAAGGGCATAGGTTTGATTTTGTCATTGGAGGGAACATAAAAGTGGTCTGCAGGGCCTCACCGGGAAGTAGACTTCTGACCTTTGTTTTTTTGGCTGCCATCCTGACTGAGTATACCACCCAATTACCCTAATTGCTAAACACATATACTGTCCACAGAAGAAAAGTCTTCAAAATAAATTCACCTACCCAGATATAATGAATCTGTGACAGAATCTTTACTGTTGCAAATGCACACTGTAGCCTATGAAACTGTTAGTATAAGGACAGCGTCTTCCTCAATTAGCCTACATGCACATCTCGTTGACAGAGTTTGGCACCTTTTACAACCAGATATAGCTACGCCCTCTCATATGTTAACAAAAAACAGCAAAGCCACTAATAATAGCCATATTGGGTTAGGGAGGCAGCACTAGTAATAGAGAACCAGATCTGTTAACCATTTGTTTATCATATACCTTGAATAGACACTGATGGACAACAGTGACTCTATGAGCCGTCTCTTTCAAGTGAACGATGAAAGCCGCCTCCCATTAACAAAGACAAACAGCGTATAAATTAAGTGAACTGTCTTGCGTGCCTTTTTTATAACATTTATTTAACTAGGAAAAGTCTGATTGAGATTAAAAAGCTATTTTACAAGAGCTTGCTCATTAAAATAGCGTACAGCAGCTCAATGCAACTAAGTACATTAACTCAAGTAGGCCTACTGTACTTAAGTACAAATTCAAAGTTCGTTTCATTTTATGCAACTTTATTCTTCTACTTCAGTACATCTCATCATGCCCCTTCTGTCTAGTGAAAACCATGTATCTCCAACTTTGGTGATTCTAAATTCTTCTTCTTTTATTGATACAAAACCCTTCAATTTTCTGTAAAATGCATGGCAGCAATCTGAAAAAGGGCTGTTTTTCCTTTTCTTTCCTTTCTATCTTTTAGATGTAGCCTACGTGGTTCTCACAGGACAGCAACATTTGCTGTAGATTAACTACCCAACAAAGTAGTGAAAAAAAAACAACGCAGCAATACCATAAACAACTACAGCAGTAAAACGTAGCATACACATGCATAATGCAGAAATACTGTAAATCCAAAAACCTCATATTTAATAAAACAGACAGGGACCATTTCTTTCTGCATATTAAGTAGCCTACTTTTAACTTTTGATACTTTAAGTAAAATTTTCTGATTACATTTACTTTAGTAAGATTTTGAATGCAGGACTTTTACTTGTAATATTTGTGTGTATGTAATAAGTGTGGTACTAGTAGTCTTACTTAAGTAAAGAATCATTGTATCTTACTTCTTCCATTAATTGTGATTGTGGGTAATTAAATCAGTTAAGTCTGGGGTGGGGCTGCACCCTATGGCTGCACCTCAAGCAGACTCTCTGGTCTGCAGAAAGTCAGCTTGAAGCATTGTGGACTGGATGAATTGTGGGTTTGGACGACAAACTTACCAGGAATGCGCTCTCAAAGTCCGACAGTCCAGACATTTGAATTCAGACAGAATCTGTCTTACCTGTAAAGTAGCAAGTTTTAAAGAAGCTGCACTTGAAGATTGAAACATGCTACACCACGCGTCTGAAATCTTGTACGTTTCCTCATTGAGTTTTGTGTCTCTGCTAGCATGGTCACGGTGGTTATAGGGCTCCTCCCCTGCTCTGTAATTATAGGCTACACTTCTGGTAAAAATAACTCTGGACTCCATTAACAAGCAATGGTTTTCATAAAGTTAAAGATACACTCACCAGTTTTATCGTTGCCAAATATCACCCCCAAATGTTATGTTATCTTACAGCTAATGTGTAAATATACTACAAAAATAGTATATAGTATAGTATAGTATATAAATAGGCTATTTGACTGTGCAACTGCAAAGATGTAATGTATCCACTGGGAACTATTTCATTTTATGTCACTGCACGAGATATGCAAGCAGCTCTGTGAGGCTAATTGGCACAGTGGTGCTAGACTGCAAACATGCTAACATGTTCACAATGACAAAGCCGTTGTTGATGTTTTGCAGGTATAGCTAATGTTTGTCTTGTACATCATCTTAGTTTGGCGTGTTAGCATGCAAACATTTGCTAATTTGCACTAAACATAAACTACACCTGAGGCAATTCAACTGTTGTGGAGATTGTTCATTCAAAACCACAATTGTGAACCTCATTGGTGGCACTAGAGGAAAAATTAGAACATCACTAAGTCAGTAGGATTCGTTCTCTTAGGAAAATGTGCAAAATGACATGGCAATCCATAGTTATTGAGATATTTTTTGTCTGGACCAAAGTGGTGCGTTCACCAACTAGGAGACCAACTTATAAACAGACCGACATGCTGCTACCATGACTAAACATCAAGAATGAGATGTTGCGACCACAGCTGGTGTCAAGTACACACCTGTTCCACTCTCCCTTTTCCATTATCAGACTCTAGGACTGATTATATTTTTTAATGGACATTCTGTGAAACTGTCTGCTTTTCAGTTCCTCACTTTAAAACTTGAGAATCCATCTCAGTTTCCTCAGTTCTCTGCCCATCTGATGACATTGTCTCTTTAATTTACTCTCCCCAGAAATCCTCACTGCTAGTGTTCCTCTAGCTCTTTGAATGTTGGGTTGTGCTTTGAGGTCAGACGACCTGCTTTCACAGTGGCAATTTCGTGCTTCAATTGTAAAACGTGCTATTGGTTCATGTCCAAGAAGTTCTCCTCTAAGATTATTATCAGTTCAACCCAGCTTTTCCTAATTCAGCAGACAAGAGTATCATTTATTGATAACATAATTGTAGTCTGTTATCTCTTTTAAAGATTCTACATTATCTACCTGAATTGTGCTGTCACTACCTTTTTCATCTCATAATTCATAAACTATCGGGCTCTCTTTGAGGAGGCCAGTCTGTCGTGTGGCTTCCAGGTGGATCTGACCACAAGAGGTCAGGCATGACAAGCTGGGGCTGAGTATCTCAATCTTTGCCTTTGGTCTACACGAAACTATACAAAACTACTGATTTAACTATGCAAATAAAACATATGAAATGCTTCAAACCAATATAAATTCTCTGTGTAATTTAGTTTCAATAAAATAAAGCAAGATAATTTTTCATAATTTTTTTTCTATTAATCCATTATTTATGCATTCTAACCAATTTTCATCCTCTCTGTGCACAGTTTCACTTTGGGACAGACACCCAGCTGTTTACTTAATGAGACAGGCACACATCCAAGCAAGGCAGATGTTAAAACTTGGCAAATATAATGTGAAATTTAAATGAATGGATGCATAACACTGCAGTAGCAAGTGTGCAAATCTGAAAGTCTTTCTGATCTTTCTCTATTTTATACACACACACACACACACACACACACACACACACACACACACACACACACACACACACACACACACACACACACACGCACACACACACACACACACACACACACACACGCACACACACACACCTCTTTGTTATTCATACAGTCACACATGCACACACCAATGCACACCATGTTTGCTTTTCCCTTAACCAGTTTGTATTTGACATGCCTGCTCAGTCATGCCCTGCTCCTACCCCCCTGTGGGAGAAGGTGTTAGAGCGTTTAGCAGGCTACAAAGCGTGAGAGGCGATAAACTAACTACAGCAGAATGAGGTCTGGACGCAGAGGCCAAAAGGAGCTGGCTTTCGGGGGAAGCCACATTTCTGTTTGCACCACCATGTGTCACCTGTGCAAATATAAGGAAATGGAAAACAGACGCTCCAAATTCCTACCCAGAAAACGATGATATCCTGTAGCTTTTCAGATTTTGGTTGGATGATGTTTCCTGTGGAAAACTTGACCCGACTGATGACATCCTCTGCTAAATAATGTTGTTTTGGTAGACTGATTGTCGCCAGTCCAGGTGACCACTGGAGAGTTCCTCCCCCTGCAGCCATCATATACTCCTAATAGCTTGCAAGCTTATTGAATTACTGAGGTGGAAAAGCAGGCGAATGCGTAGTGAAGGGTCTGTTTTGGTCAGAGAGGAAGTCTTGCTGGGATGAAGAATCATGATTGCATAAAAAAAATCACAGCGCATTGGTCAGACAGAGTTGTGAGACAACGTGACAGCGACCAAGTCTTTCAGTTACTTTATTCAGAAGATATTATTTGCTTTTATCTAATGAAAATTGTTATACGCAGGTACCACAAGAAATACATTCATGAGTTACTATTTAGTTTGGTGTCCTTATTTCTCATTGCCTTTCTTTTTCTTTCATAAATATTTTTCTCATATAAATTTAAGTGGGTTTTGTCTATAGTTACATTTCCTTGGTGATTAAATGACTCCTGAATAAAAAAAGTAAACAAGTCTAGACAATCAAATCAATGTTGATCTGCTTACGGCTTGAAATACCAAATTACCATCTCTCCCTTTGGGGTCACAGAGGCACCCTGTTCAGTCATTCCGTAGTCTTCTTTACATAATGAAAACCAATTTGAAATTTAATTGTTAGCCGTACTAACTTGACTGGAATTCATGAGATGTATCCAAGCCAACAGCAAGGGCTTCTTTTTTAATCATAGACATTCATTTATGTACAAACTGGCCTTGCACAAAAAGCCTACACACTAAGTTTGAGGCTACGTTTGTTCACTGTAGTCTTTGCTTCCCCCCTCTCTTTATCTTTGTTTATTCATGTACAAGTCATTGTGAAATTCTTCAGGGGTTATGTGCTTACATTGTAACCAAGGCTGTTAATGGCAGGGTGGTATTCAGCCTGTCCTGTGGATAAGAGTAGCAGCTCCACTTCCTTCTCTGTCACTCCATATTGTTACCCTTTCCACAAGTTCACACTGAGCTGCCTTCAAGGACAGTCAGAAATATAGACATAATCATAAAAAAAGTATTGTGTTGTGTTTTTAGCCTTTTACATAGCCTGATGAACTTACCTACAGTATTTAATAAAGTGGCCCATTAGTTAAAAAAACAGTCCTTTCGACATTAATTTGACACTTAAAGTATCTGCATTCATATTTTTAGATATCTACAAAATATACCTCAATGTTTTGCTCTGTGTCTATTTACATGATGTTATTGTGCATGTGTGGGACAAGTGTTTATATTTCACATGGTTTGGGGTGTATGCATAAACTGGAACTCTTTGAATATTGTAGTTAACCTACTGTAATTTCAATTTGTATTTCAAATTACAGTAGATTACAGTAGATACACTTTATTCATTGTATTTTGTAGTATTTGTGTCTACCTGCGTATGGAACTGCAGATAGAAAGCAGGCAGTGTATTATGTGTACATGGTCCTTGACTAATACATTTAAAGAAAAATATTACCAGTGTCACATCTGAAGCACAAAAATGTTGCTTGATCTTAGTGACTTTGTTCCTCTCTGTTAGGCTATTATTTCTGAGAAAACGGAGCGTGTAAAAGCAGAGACGTTTTAAGTTGAGAAAGTCCTATAATGCTTATGAACTTTGAAAGAACGAGCTGCACACAAAGGTAGCATCCGCTGTCGGACAGCCTGAAAGCAACAAGCTTGACCGGACGAAACGCTCACTGCTGCAGTGTCGTGCACTCTGATTTGACTGGACTAGCAACAAAACGAGCATATTTAATCCTCACTAAGCGTTGTGTAGGTAAGTATTTTCTCGGCTATGAGATGTAGACGTTTGCCGATATAACGGCATGATAAATCGGTTAAACTTTCTCCTGCGCTTCAACGACGTAGGTGGAGGGATGCCCCCCCCCCGGATGCTCCAGCCTACACCCTCATCCTGAAAAAGGAAAATAAGTCTTCAATCGTAATGGACCTATGTTCACTTTATTTATAGGCTGCTTGTAAGGACACCTGCAGTGGTCAAAGTCCGGACTCTCCGTGGCAGGGCATATCATCCCTGGAAGAAGAAACCATTTACGTATCGAGGTAACGTTAACTAACTTGTTAACTGACGATGCCATTCAACGCATCATTTTCTAGTTTAAGTGCTGTTGGTGAAATCACTAACCACATTGACAATGGGTGCCTGACTAGCCTAGATAATTAAACAGCAAATTGTAAAATAGCATGCCATTTCTCTGCCAGTATAAGTTAAACTGTTTGCTTCCTAACAGAGAGATAAAACGTTTAGCCTTTGTGGTGACCTTTGTTTCGCGCAAAGTGGGGTCACAGGTGACTTAATCAGGTGAGGAAAGGGCGGGAACTACACTGTAACCAAGCCTAGTCACCTTGAAGGCTATATTGGTGTGAAGTCAATGAAATATTTTTCTAATGCATTTTTTTTTGTTTTTAGTCCACTGCAGTCAAGATGCTAGCAATTTGGCTGTTAATCTGCATGGTTTGTGATCCTAGAAGTATGGAGTAATTTATAAAAAGTTTAGAGAGCAGGTTCACCCAAATTACAAGTCAAACATTTCCTCTCACTTACCTCAATTTAGCCATGGAGATTGCTTAGGGGTTTTTTTCGTACCAAAAGTCTGGAGATGTCCATCTTTGATGTTTCTGCTTTCACTCCATTGCAATAGGAGTGAAGAGGCAATTATTTCTCTTGGGGTGCTCACAGCATTGGAAAAAAAAGTGTCTTTCCAGAAACAGTGCCCCAATTCTCTAAATAAACCACAGAACTTACTGAGAAGCACAGTATAATTGTGACTAGACCTACTTTTTCCTGAAGAAATCATCCATGTGAAAACGGTTCACACTGGGCTCTGGATTATCCAGAGCAATGGCAGAAACTTTACGTAAAAAAATATTACATCTTAATGCTGTGAACACCCTGAAGGAACTCCTTTCACTTCCGTCGTGTACCTGTATGAAGGCAGATCAGTATCTCAAAACCTGGACAAATAAAACCAAATGAACCACCCTTTAAACAAGACAAGTAGGTTGTTTATGTACTATTCTGAAGTTTAGGCCTGTTTAAGTATCATAAAGAATCAAACGCTTATTAGACATACTGGTGTATGACTCCCTGGTCAACAAACACAAAACCTTCACTAAGGTCTTTCCACTGAAGGATACTATGTAGATCAATGTTATGGGTCTAAGTGCTTCCCGCACCATAGCCCTTTTATTTACAGAACAGAAACTGTGTGCTCAATTAATGATTCAGGTTTATGGTCTATTCAGTGCTATGAATAATTTAAAGATGTGGATTGAACAAGGAGGTGATGGTGTGAACTTGGAAACTGCATCACTTAGCAACTAGTCAAATGTACCCCGATGGAGACCTTTATAAAACAGAAAAGTATAGCACAAGGGGTTTCAATGAGAAAATAGTGGTAGAAGTTGGAGTGTAAATGTGAGCTTGTTTAGCTTGTAAGTATGATTGAAATGTTTTCAGTCATACTCAGAGGCCCCTTCAGATTGTTGCTTGATGCTACTGTGTGATCAGCTGGGAGTTGTGTGCAATTAGGAGGAGTACCAATGTGAGAACTACGCCTGAGTAACTTTTATTTTGTAGCATATATGACTTCGACAAAGCATGCAAACTGTAAATGCTGAAAGTTTACCTGACATTACTGCGGAGATGTTGCTTTAGATGCGTCATTTGAAAGGCAGCTGTATCCCTTTGGCAAACAGAATCACTCTTGATTACTCTCACTTGCTGTGAAACACATTTTTATGCAGAGCATAAAAAAATACTGACAATGAGTGTCAGCCAGTGTCGGTGTTTGTGTGTTAGCTGTTTTATCCTTTTATTATGTTTCATTTTCCTTTCCGTCAGATAAAGACAATGGCATTTGGGTTGCAGAAGCACAACTTGAGTATTATCGGAAGGAAAGTACTTAAGTTATATTCTGAATTTACATTTGGGGTCATATGAGCAATATACACTTGCAATTTAATTTTTGACAGTGTTGTTTACATTTTTAGACTATTTTGTAACCAGCCAGTTTATTAATTTGTTTGGGATTCACGGTTAATTTGTCACGTTTATTTGTTTTTTTGTGTATTGTTTTGTCTTGCTAGTGTCTTGACATTTTGGTTTGAAGGGGGAAATTGTGGTCAGTCGGTAAACTGTGAGGCTCATCGTTCATCAGTCAGAAGTATCATCAAACCCTCACATCTGAGACAGTATTTTTCTACAAATCTTTTCTGAGCAGTATCAAGACAGTTAAAGTTTTGTTAGTGTGAAAGCATGGAGTAATTACATTTTTGTTGTCAAATTTTATATTTCCTTGCATTGAAGGAAAACAATCTGCACTTTCAGAGTTGAACTGGAGGAAGGAAGATGTCGGCGGTTTATAAAGATGCCCAGGAGGACTGGCTGACGGTGTGTCTCAAGTACCTGCTCTTTGTTTTCAACTTTCTCTTCTGGGTAAGTGAGACCCTTAACAATGGTTACACTTTTTAATCCTTCTTTTCCTTGCATGTCCTCGGAACGTGGTGCTGAAACAGCATTAAGCTCCAAATGGGAAGCCTGTGCATTGCAGTCATATCGACAGTTCTCACAATGACTGTAGATATCAATAAGTCATGTTTTTAAATACAGAGTAATTAGAGCTAATGAATGGGAAATCATTGTATTGTGCTATAAGACACAGTAAAACTGCTTCAACGTTCCTTTAAAACTGCAGGCAGAGAGACATTAAAAGGACGGAGCCATGTAGAAACAGGAAGAGGATCAATGAGGGTTCTGATTCTGAAATGGCTGAGCTATGGACTCGGCCCAAAGTGAGTCATAGATTATTTAGGGCTTGTCAGTGTATGATGGGGAACAGTGTCTGGGGTTACTTTGGAACATTTTCAAAATCTGATGCAAAGAGAATATTGTCTGTAGACAGAGAGACAGAGACGGATCTGTGTGTGGGAGAGGTTAAAGAGAGAAAAAGGGATCAGGCTCTATCTTCAGGCTTGGGTTAATGTAACCCTGTCACCACCTTTAAAACTCATCTTTTGAGGCAACACATTGTCACTTTGTTAGTCTTCTCTATTTTTGTCCACCACTGCACCATTAGAACATGCATCAGTCATGGGGCCAGTACATAATTTGTCAGGACATGGCTGGCTTTTCATAGCCTGAGCAAGAGTAAAATACAAAACTTAGCTAGTCATCGTCTTGCTAAATATCAAGTGTATCTACTTTGATATGGATGCAGCATATTGGTATAATGCATCCCCTCTAAATATATTCTGTAAGGAGTTTCAGAGGATTTGTATTCAATAAGTGGTTTAGATACAGGATTGGGATTTGATAAACTGTTATTGAACCCCAAACCTAACCCAAGCCATGTCAGTTTACTTACCTTTTAAAGACATGTGAATTTATTATAATTCAACGGACCTTAGGTTATCTTACTTGTTCCTAAATGTGCTCTAGTTTGGCAAGGGCCACCTCCCTCTGGGCCCTGCATGTATTCAAGTAGTGCCTACTTGACTGGGCATGCGTTGTTGTGAGTTTGTGGATCTTGCTTTTGACGGAAATGGAATGGGAGGATGAAGGTGAGAGACTCTCTGTGGCATTTCCTATCCGTGCGCCTGAAACTGATGAGAGGAACAGATCTGGGCACCGCCCCTTGGTCTGTTATCCAGGATTGTTTGTGAGGAAGTGCTCATTATACCATGACTTGACCTCTGAAGTCCTGCTCCTCCTATAGCTCTTTATGCCTTTGCCACTTCTTTCTTTCGTTATTCTTTCTATTTCCTCTCTTTTTTTCCTTACCCTATTTTATGTTCCTTTCCCTCTGACTGGTGTACCTTTTTTTTTTTTTTTTTTAAATCCTCTAACAGCATTGAACTCGCTTCCTATTTCTCACTTCGTGCTCTCTAAAGTGCTATAGTTTGTGTTTTTTTTTTATTTGTCTTTGTTTAAGATTGAATTGATATGACACACTCTATGTTTCCACAGTATTTAATTTCTCTGTTCAAGTCATCCGGATCTCCTCTTTCTCCATTTTTGACTCATACCGTGCTTTTATTATGCCTTTTTATCTGTTTTTCTTCTCTGGAACCTTTTGCTGCACCCTTATCAGTTTTATCGTATCTCTTTCTTTACTTTTATACTCTAATATCTTTTTACACCACCACCTCTTTTCTCCCTCTCCCTCTCTCATCCAGGTGGGTGGAGCAGCTGTTTTGGGTGTAGGAGTCTGGACACTGGTGGAGAAGAGTGACTACTTGAGCCTGCTGGCCTCCAGCACTTTTGCTGTATCAGCATATATCCTCATCCTGGCCGGCAGCCTGGTGGTGGTTACGGGCTTCTTGGGCTGTTGTGCTGTCATCCGGGAGCAGAGAAGCTGTCTATCCATGGTGAGACGGGGGAGGGGGTTCCTGCCTTTGTGTTTTCATATAAAGGTGTGTGGTAGACGGTAGAGTTTATGTATGTGATGAAGCAATGTGAATTTTAACAGATTTGCTGGAGTGCTTATTTAAAATCTTCGAATTATTGGATGCTTTTACAAAAATATTGTTTGAACACATATTTGCTTTTACAGGTAACAATTTCAGTGCGGTCATTACAAATACAAAGAATGGTGCTTTTCTCCGGACCGAAAACCACTAAAATACCCTTGAGTAAGTAGCTGTGCTGTAAATGAAAAGTTGCCAGCAGGACTGCAGTTTTACTGGGAGGCTATTCATTGTATGCGAGTGAAACTAAACCAACTTAAATGTCCGCTGGTCAAGAGCAATCTATGCTGTGGAGTAGGTTTGGGTGGTATCGCGGTATTACAGTATAGCAGGATATTTAGAAATACCCTTGGTATGATTTTCAATACCGTCAAAAATACAGTTGCTTCTCTTTCTGATACAAAGATGCTGTATTGAGCTAATGTATTGTGGCGGGTGAAACTACATGAAACTGCCTGACATCATCTACAATGCAACAGCTCCTCTTCACTTCACACACGGGAGCTTCAGCTGCAGCCTTTATTCGCTGACGAACTGTAACCTACTCTGCACCTTTACTGCTAAACTTATGCGCGCGCCTGTGTAGAGCAGAATGGCTGTCCACAACTAACCACTGCGCTGTAGTAACGTTATAACTAAATTTCCACAGAAAGCAACATGAAAAACAAAGGGCAGGCTTACAACACACTACCCTCGTTAGATTGTGAGCTTCAAATTAGCTAACCTTTAAAATGAACAGTTAAACAACACAAGACACGGCAACACTTACAGCTTCAAAGTTTGAAGATGGGTTACGTACAGCCCATGGCAATCTGTCCTTGAACCGTTACAGAGCTTGTTTGTGGAACTTTTTAAGCACTAATGTATTAATTTGAAGTGTAAAGTATGAACATTGTGGTTGTTACGGCGCTTGCCATCCTCCGCGGTAGGCTTGACCACTAGGTATTTCAATTTTGCGGTTATTGCGACAGCCCTGTTCTCAGCCACACACTCACTACGTACACAAAAAGGAGCGAATCGCCAGCGATTGTGAGTGGTGGTAGGGTAACGTTACAGGACTAGTAAACAAGAAAAAAGCCCCTGCTTCTGTGGTTAGTCCAGATGATAAAGGTGCACCAGCTAACACGGACGAATCTATGGAAGAAGGCGCTTATTCCCTATCTGTACCCAGCAAGACGGAAGACTCCTGTTTTTCATTGCCCTCTCCCGGTTTTACAATTCTCCTGATTTCCCATATTTCTATGTATTATATTCATCTCTGTTTCTGGCACTGTACAGCGTGTATAAGCCCTTCAGCTCTCACTACTGTTTCTATCCAGACAGTTAGCATGTGTGTCACTCCCCCACCCCCTGCTTTTTTACACAAATACCTTAATATACTGTGTATATACCCTGGTGAAATGTCAGGAAGATATGAAAAATTAAATACCGCCCAAGCCTACTGACGACTGAATATCATATCACAGAAGATGTGCGTTATCACATTTACCTCTACTGGTGAAACAAACAATTTCATCATCTGTTAAGCTGGGCAGACATGGTGCGATTTATCTATTTTGTCCATTGACAGTGCAGATTAGAGTTTACCAGAATTTCTGGCATGCCGGAATCCGATCTTACGAGATCTAGATCGGTGATTGATCAGGTGTAGTGAAGGGATCTGATAAAAATTTTGTCCAACTCTAAAATGAGTTGCAGGTGACCAATTTGGGGTTAAAATCAGGCTAAATCCATTCAGTGTGTGCTCAGCTTTAGTTTCATTGCCATATTGCTTTTGCAGTTGGCAAAATTAAAAAAATTCCATTCATTTTCTCTGTCTCAATTCCATACTGCTTACTAATGCTGTATAGCGCACTATGTACAGTTGTTTGTAGTAAAATTTTCCTTTATTTAGTATATAAGAAATTAACGTACTACCTTATCATTCAGAAATCAAGCAGATTTGTTATGCTTCGGGAAAGCTTGTAGTCTACAGAATGTTGTCACTTTTGCAGTGTGAATGCACTGGATACAAAATGGCTAAGATACTGTAAAACAAACTACCACTCATGGACTGAAGGGGTCTTCAGAGTCGGACCGCTCATAAAAGCTTAATTCAAGGCACACTTGGACTTCATCACATTGGAGGGAAACATTTTTCAAACACTCGATATAGAAAGGTTATGTTAAATAGCAAATGTTGAAAATGCTGCAGCCATGTTCTCTCAAAAGTGCAACTTCAGTGATCACGAGGGCAACAATGCTGATGGTCCAGGCTACTTGTTAGTGGTCCTAGATTTTATGTCCGCTCAGAGAAACTAGATGCTCACCCACATAAGCAAAGGTTTGCTTTCTCTGCAGAACTGCATAACAGCTACGCAACAACGTAACATGGAACTCATCCATCCTCTTCCTGGTCTGAACTCCATCACTGGATGCTGACAAATGGCCTCGACAGGACCCTTACAGTCCTCATTATTTTACAGAGACAGGGCCCGGTGGGAGAGAAGGAGGCGGGAGGTGAACATTCACTGCCGCAGGACTATTTATAGGTCTATCTATCTACGGTTGATAGATGGAGCAATAGAAAAGAAAAACAGGCTTGCAGGAGTGAAGAGGTAGATATGTAGAGGATTTAGTCTGTGGTGCATTTTAGTTGAATATCAAATGTATGTGATATTTATAGATTAGTTCAGCGTGTGTGTGTGTATGTGTGTAAAGAAGTGGTGAAGGTAGCATTCTGAGTGCGCAGCAGGCCAACAGAAACCAATTCTTTTGAAATCTTCTGACGAAGCGATAGAGAGCAGGCTGTGTTTCTGCATGACTTAATTACTGTGATAACTGTAAAATAGAAGAGAACGTTTGTCAAATATTAATTCACTGAGATCACTGACTGTTTTTTTACCAGTAGTTTGCCTTCACTTTGTTCCCTGTGTCACGCAGCATTGGTTGTCTGAACTGTTGTGTCCCACTTTTTGACAGGTGGGCCTAATTAGTTTTGTGTGTGTGTGTGTGTGTGTGTGTGTGTCTGCATCACGTGGCATGGCCCATGTTTGTGTGTGGTATATGAACCATTTCATGACCAGTCAAAAGGGCTTGTGTTTCTTTTAGCTGGAGAAAGCTGGAGTTTTGATCTTGCTCAATCTGCAACTCTCTGTCTGAGCGCTCTGAATGTGTGGGCGGTGGGTCTGTTTGCTGCACAGTTTACATAACTACATTTCAGTACGTATAGTGCTTATCATTAATGTTGATGCTTAGAATTAGAGCAATCAGTGTTTTCTTTCTTTTCAGTTTTAGCTGCTGAGATATTGATTTTCAGTTAGACTATTCTGATGTCTGATTCATTATATTACTGGTTTTCCTGACGAATACATGAATGTTGTTATAATTAAGTTAATTTTGATCCATAATGGAGCTGGTTTCCAGCAGTATGTAGAGCTCTTTAAAAGATGCTCGAGAGAAATCTGATTCTGCAGCCTGTCAGATTGTTTTGCAGTTGTCTTCTATTGTGCGTCAGTGCCATCTGTTAGAAGTGACAGATGCAGCACAATGGCAGTTGATCGAAGTTTTTATTGAGCCGCCACCAGTGTGAGCAATTTTCTCAAATGAGTTACCTCAGCATACTACTCTAACTGGCTTGCTGTCTTTATCATCCACAGTATTTCTTCTGCCTGCTGGTGATCTTCTTGATTGAACTGGTGGCTGGAGTGCTGGCTTATGTCTATTACCAGAGGGTAAGTGTAAATAACTAAGTGAAGGATTATCACTGCATTTAACTGTACGTCCCAGGGGTCGCTTGAATGCTTTTTTTGCTCACTCACATTTCACGGTTATTCGGTTTTGCGGAGGAGTAAAAAACCTTACTGTTTCAGGCCAGATGACCAAGATCAGACCAATCTACTGTGATGTGTCTTGTGTAAAATATTGTCATGTTTTATGTAGAGGATAGAATATAGGATGAAGACAGTGAGGGTGTTTTTCTGAGAGAACGATTTAATTTACATTGATCTAAGTGTGCGTTAAAACAGCACTTTCTGCAAAATGGCAAGTTATAGCTCTCCAGTGAAGACACTTTTAAACATACTTAATTGTCAAGATAGCAGAAACTAGGGAAATAATTTGGAGGCAACCCTGCCTCACCCAATTATCCTTGAATGTATCAGAGATGCTTATTTATTTATGAAAAATCCCCGTTGACAGTTTGTTTCTTTGTATAGTCTCCACTAGATGCTCGCTCTGCTTTTGTGCCATCTTAAGGCTCAAGCATTTCTGACTCATGTTGATTTTGATGGCTTTTCCTAATGCACACTGAGGCTGCTGCTGATGGATAGCTACGATTTCACATTGTGCTTTAGGCATGGGCCAGTATGAGATTTTCACAGTATGATAATCTTAAACAAAAATATCACTGTATCACGGTATTGTGATTACAGCTCTAAAATGTGGTCTGTTTTTTAAATGTCTGGGTAAAAAACACCTTTGAATACAATATATTTTATTTTTAAGCAACAACATGTGCTACTGCTGCTAAGAATAATATCAAATATCACTGTACAATATTGATTTATTATAATATTGTTATTGCAGTGATGATGCACATAGACACATAAGGAGAGAGAGTGTGTCACGCACACACACATACGGTCACTCTCCGTACAACAGACAGTGGAAAAGACACCAGTCTTGAATTTAGCCAAGAGTGATGGGTGGTTCTCCCGTAGGCAAACTTAGTGTTATGTTCGGTGTCTGGAGTTTATCGAACACACAGTTCTCATGATCTTGCTATCTCACAAAAATCTGCCTGTCAGTCAACTAGGACTGCAAAGAGCACCACGCTGGCTGCGGCCAAGCTCTGAGATTTATTATAACGGAAAAGGGTTCAGCACAGGATAGAATCACTTTAAAGATAAGGGCTCTCTCTCTTCCTCCTTGTCTCTCGTGTGTGTGTGTGTGTGTGTGTGTGTGTGTGAACGTGCTTGCAAATGCACACATAAAAGGCTGTATTTCAAGTCTATTTTTTGCAGTGTGTTGTTCATCTGTCTTTTCAATCACATCACTCACAGATGCGTGGGAGTTTCCACCGGTCTGTCTTGCCCTAATCCTCCCACTCTTTCATTTTTGTCAAGCTTATCACTTCAACACTCTCACCTTTGTAGTCCTTCCATGTGTAATAAATGAATCAGCTTGTGGGTACAAAATAAATTTTCCATAAATACCCCACCTACTTTGTCACACGCACACTGTTTTTCACTGTGTGTGTCTGCTGTCTCTTTCTGTGTTCCTTATTTCCAGCTGAGTGAGGAGCTGAAGCAACATCTCAACCAGACTATGACAGACAACTACGCTCAACCAGGGAAGGAGGCCATCACATTAGCTGTGGACAGACTACAACAGGATGTATGGACTACATTTACAAAAACCTCTGTGTTTGGTTTATGTAAGATTATATGCTACACCAGTGGGCCAGAACCGGCCTGCCAGCAATAATATCTGGCCTGCGGCCAGATTGCTTTGATAGCAGAAAAATAAAAAATAAAAAAATTGATAGTGGCTGGTGCTGAAATAGATATCGGTCATGACGGATACAGTTACTCACACAATCACTTCCTCTTAAGTGATTGTGGCTGCAAAATAAAAATGCGTAATATTCATCCAGCCAACGATTGCGGACCGTTCACAGCCTGTCGGCACCGGAGAGGGAGTGGGCGGAACAGGGACAGGAGATCGCAGAGCGACTGGACTGCTGCGGTCGGTCAGTGATTGTTTCCTCTGGCGGGATGAAGTCTGACGCTCCGCTTGATCCATGATAAGATTATTGTCAATAAAGCATGCTGTCAATATTTAAGAGACCCAAAATATCACAAATCATGCTTTTAGGGGAGCTGATGTCTTATAAGGGGGAGCTAAGGTCCCCCTGCCTACTCCATAGTTCGCACCCTGAATTTCCTGCGGATCAAATGCCGGGCGCACACACACTGTAGCAGTGCCTTATTGTGAGCGTGTGCAAAAGTGTCTTTATAATCAAGTAATAAGGGGAGAAAAAATATACGCAGTTAATTGGAATTGATCTTCCAATCTTCCTAACAGGAGTCCCACACAGTACCTAGTGAGCTAAACATGAGTATACGAGGATTTGAAATAATTAGACTTTGTTCTGGCCCGCCATATAGTGGCTTGAAAAATATTTGGCCCGATTCCACACTTATTTGCTGACCTCTGTGCTACACCTTCCTTCAGTAATCATGGTCAAGTATAGTCACACTTTGTTATAAAGACGTATTCCATGACTTAGTCTGCAGCTACCATATGTGAAGTAGCTTTAAATTATGCTGAAATTCAGTTGAAGAATTTGGTCATACCTCTGTGTTATCCATTATGGTTTGCTGAACACATTGTTCCAAAAAAGCTAAATTAATTATCTCAGAGATGAAGGAACGCCACTCCCTTCAGTTACAAGAATGTCAAAGTTTACAGAATACTGATTTGAGGAAGTTGTTTGAGCCAAATACATGAATCTGAGTTAAACGTTGCAGTAGCTTAGCTATTATGAAAAGAAGAGGGATTTGTGCTTTTCTAACAGCGTGTGACCTCATGAAACAAACCTTTGCTTTCCTCTTTCTGCCTCTCCAGTTCAAGTGCTGTGGCAGCAACAACTCCCATGATTGGATGGTGAGTGCATACATTTCATCAAAGGTGGCAGAAGGCAGGCTGGTGCCCGACAGCTGCTGTAAGACAGTTACCCTTTATTGTGGCAAGAGAGACCACCCCTCCAACATCTACAAGGTGGAGGTCAGTGCACTACACGCCGCTAGGAAATAGAAATGCTAAATGACAATGTTCACTGAACATTGCTTGCCGACATTAGACAATATCATGAGTACTTTTGGGATGTTCCCATGTCCTGATATTTCCCTTGTTGAACTAAAATAGTGACAGAAACATAGAAAACACAGTACTTTCAAAGTTTTCTCTGATAAAATGAGCTTTCTAGAAATGAATAAAAGATGAGCTTTTGAATGCTTATCTGTGCTGCTTAGGTGAAGCTTTTCCACCTTTTTCTGTCAAACCCTTTAGTTCCCTTCTCTGCGCTCATGGTACACTGCCTGCATCATGTGCAAAGGCATAAACGTGAAGATATACTTTCTAGGGCTGTACCCGAGTATTCAAATATTCGATCATTGGGTACACATTCGATTTTAAATTTTGAGATTGAAATATTTTTTTTGCGCACCTGACCTCCGCAAACAGCAGTGAACGTAATACCTTCAGAATAAAACAAAAACATGTCCACTGGGAAAATAGGTAAAAGTGGGCTGAAAATGGACTTCAGGCAAAGCTGGACTATACCAACTTTAATAAACCCACATATTCCTGGCAGGATGTTTTTCTTTTTGCAGTTGGATAATTAGCCATGGAAAGTGCGCGCCTGTGGCTATCTGTACAATGACATGTATTGTTAGGGCTGGGCAATATAGCCAAAAATTACATCACAATAACAAATTTTATATCATTTGATATTGATAATTATCAAAACAAATGTCAAATCATTATTTCTTTCAAGTTTAAAGGCTGATTTTTGCTTGTTGAAGAAACCAGATGGTTAATTGTGGTTTTAAACTAATCTTCATGGTGAGAATATGACACTTGCCAAACAGTGGATAAATATCTTTTATCTTATCAATAAAAAATAAATATCTTAATAGAAACATTAGGTACTAATTTGTTCGTGGTTGAAATTAATAAATTAAAAACTTTGAATATTTGTTGTATTGTTACTGAGTAAAACTATATAGCAATAATTATCATTGTTGTTTTATTGCCCTGTCCTATATATTGTTTATTACATGACTTTTAACTTTCAGGCTTTTGACTCTGCAGGGTGGTTGCATCACCAAGCTGGAGCAGTTTCTGGCTGACCACCTGTTGGTCATTGGTGCTGTGGGAATAGGAGTGGCTTGTCTGCAGGTTAGTGAAATATGATGTGTGCTCCAGATAGTTGTTGAAGAAGCAGAATACTTCATCTTGAGTAAACTGTACTTTATATAAGTCCAGATATTATTTTATCAAAACTAGAGCTGCTGCTTTTACATTTATGTGAAAGAAAGCATTTTGTTGAATCAAATTGTACCGAACCCAGACAGATGAGTTTTATCTTTCCGTTATTGAAAATGTACCATCGCAGGTCAACAACCTCTAAATGGACACTTCATTTCATCTCACCGTCTCAGTCATTATCTGTTTTGTTGTTCCTCCCTGTTATTTGATTTCTCTCAGTCTGAGATGGACTCACAGACTTACAATTCAGTGCAGGGCTGACAGTACTCTTACAGCTCTTCACTATCCCTTTGTAAATCAACTTAAGAGAACTTGAGACCAAACAAACCTGCATTGATTCTTCCCAGTAATTTTTGTAAACTTGATAAGTCCTTTAATGCCCACCATTTGACATACTGTTCAGGCAACATTTTTCATTAGGCACATGGCATCTGAGAATAAAGCCAGACAACCTGCTGACAGAAGACCAGACGTTCTATATTGTAATAATCAAAGCAGTTGACATGTTTTTTCCATCTCAAAGTAATCTGAAAGTGTTATGCTAAACATATAGAGCAGATCAGGTGCTGATTATTATCCACTAATGTACAATCCAAAGTGCTAGGTCAGCCTGCTTAGTTTGTAATTTAACACTTTTCAATCCAAGCACATGTTTGCCTTCATTTTTACATTAGCCTTGTATTTCTTTTCTTTGTCAGTTGTTCTGGTTTGTCTTAATGTCGGTGTACTTTCCTGTCTCTTGTCACCGTCAGACTGAATGAAATGTAGATTTGCTGTGTTAATTCAGACTAGACACTAACCTGTCTATGGTGAATTGTACTGTATGTCTTTATGTGCGTGTGTGTGGTGTCACTGTAGCTGGCCGGTGCAGTCTTGACAGCCTGCTTTATCTATCTGCTCTATAAAGAAGAGGAAGACGACTTCGGTGCATTGTGATTTAGTTCAACAGCGTCTTTGTGGTTTAATCAACTGGAGATTTGAGGTTGGAGGGTATTGTGGAAATTGGATATCTTACTGCATGTTTGTGCTTGTGTGTCTGTCCGCTCTGTGTTAAATGTGAAATCTTTGGGCTCCGTGTATGCTAAATGGAGACATTTATAATCTTACTTGATTTTATTTGCTGAGTGTGAAGCATGCAGCTGCCTGGCTTTGGCAGTATATTGCAGATTGTCGCTCTGCATGTTGTGCTAATGGGCTGTTATGGCTGCTGAAGATGTGATAAAGGTCAAACACATCCTTTGAATGGCTTGATTAATGCTGCTTCTGCACTATGATGTTGTATACAAGAGACATGTTTTGTATCTTTTGTACAGTAGTGACTCAGTCTATAAAGTACCTGTGCTGACTTGAAAGTGAATACAGTATAGCAGGGTTTTATTTTATATCCACAATGGCAGTTTATTTTAATTATTAATATTATTCCTTTATTTTAAATTCAAACTGTAACATTAGGCTTCACTATATTTTTGTAGTAAAATATAATACTAAGATTTGGTATGCACTTTATAGCTAATGCTATTTTTCTGTGATATTCAGGAACGTTGGTAGCAGGAGTTACCATCGTTGATAGTTTTTTTTTGTTTTTTTTTATTACTGAAATTGGCAGAAGATACACTTTTTTTCTTTTTTTTAAAATGTATTTATTCTGACATCTCCTAATACATTATTATTCGGGAAAAGCATTAATGTTGTTGCTATAGTTACTTGCATAATATAGTGAAGTGATTCAAAGAATAGTGATTCACTGGATTTCTGTTTGGGGTGCCCACATTTACAATTTTAAGACATCTGCCATCCAATTGAAAATACATTGTTTTTTTTTCCCACTACCCAATCAGTCTTCTGAAATTAGGCTTCAAGAAGGTAGAAAAGCAGATGAGCAGTTTTTTCTCCCTTTTCCTCTCGTCATGGTTCTCTGAGCCAAAATGTAGCAGTGGTGGAGAAGGAAATAAAAATCAGAAACCTGCCTAAAGAGAGATTGTGATAATTCAATACACAATGCTGACTCGCTCAATAAGGCTTTCTCAGAGGGCTTTTAGGTACTCTATGACTGAATCTGGGCACATGCCTGTTTATCCGTCAAACCTGGCAGGCCCAGTGGCTTAAATCAATATCTGTTCCTGCTGCACTTAACTTTATATCTGGACCTTTTTCTATAGTAATATAGACAGTATAGTGTATTTCTGTAAATCATGTCTCATGGATTTTTTAAGGTTCTGCATGCGCCCTGGGGCATCATGTGTCTTTATAAATGTAGAAACCTCCAGATGAATTTGAAACAACTGTGTTTATTTTGCAGAATTGGCAATAAAACAATAATGATAATTATCACAGTATAATTTTCCTCTAACAATATAGTTGATGTTCAATATATCGTCAATAAATGTTTGCTTTAATTTATTTGAATCGCAAACAAATTAGCGCTTAATCTTCTAAAAGATATTTATTTTGTTGAAGAAAATGGACTGTAAAAAGATTTACTAATCATATTTTTTGAAAAAAGATTTTATCATTATAGTTTTGAGTGTTCTACGTCAGATTTGTGAAGTGATCCACTGTTTGTCACGTTCTGACCATAAAGAAAAGTTTAACCACAATCACTTAACTGTTTAATTAACATCTGGTTTCTTCAATTTTCACTCAGGAGAAAAAGTCAGCCATTAAACTTGAAAGAAATACTGATTTGACATTTATCGTAATAATTATCAGTTTTGAACGGGATGACATTTTTTTTTTATCATGATAACATTTTTGGCCATATCTCGCAGCCCTAAGTCCAGCTATTAAGCCTTTTCTGGGATAAACCATGTTTGTCAGCAACATTGCAACTTGCAGGTCTAACTTTTTTTTGAAAAGGATGATGTTATTAACTGATGTCAGCAAATATAGTTTGTATTTATGAAAATTGCAACATTCAACATGATTGTCAGAAAAGAGCTTCTGTGGTCATTATTAGCATTAAGGCTGAAGTGACAGCCCTGCTTTCCAATGCAGAATGCAAAAATGTAATTGAACAAGTTATTGGATACATTCTTTTTTTAGCCATTACAACCTTACTTTATATTGCTTGGAAAGATCTTTAGTCAGTCTTCAGTTAAGTTTAGTTTTTGGAGCCTTTTGCTGTGAAGAAGATGGACTCCTGAGATGAATATTTCTGCTTAAGTCTTCTTTTTGACCACACCCCCATCGCTTCATTTTGTATTTGCTTGTGCAAGCTTGTGTGGACACATGTTGCTGCAAAAATGGCTGCTTGACTCCTGACATCCCCGTAGTAACCAGCTACATACTTTGCAGCGGTCTCTAACCCCATCACCTTTAACCCCTCTTTACCCCATAGTCAATAGATTTCAAGCTTCCTGCAATCTTCTATGGTGACTGAGCAGCGCTTTTTGACCTAACGCATCCTGTTTTCAGATCTGTGGGATGGTGTTCACCAGCTGCTTGTACAAAAGGATCAAGATGGACCCTTACTAAGTACACCAGGCCCCCCTGACACACCACCTTCAACAGGCAGACGGAATAATGACCTGCTGACACCTTAACTTCAACCTCTGAATCTTGAACCCTGACCTGGTGATATAATCCAAATGCACAGACCCATTCCAGGTCCATCACAGTCAGAAACAAATTGTGCCATTGACCAACCTCTTGTACAGTATTGTAGTGTACTGTATGTTACAATGTACTTTATGTACATTCATATATTTGTGATACCTGACTGATCCAAGCCTACTGGAACAACATGTCTGTTTGCGTCATTGCCTTGGCTTGGATGCATGCTTTAGTTTGAGCAGGACGAAAGAAAGGGACATACATTCCCATAATGCATTCTACTCTGTTCAACTACTGATGATCTGATGTTCTCACTGTGCAGAAATTTATAGTAGTGTGTTTTTTGGGCCATTCTAGTACTTGAGTAAGGGCACAGTGTAAAAGGGCAAAGTGTACGCTGGTGTCACTTGATGAAGAAAGGTAATTTATGGTAATATCTTTGTGAACACAATGTATCTTTTTCACAATCCTGCTGTTAAATAATTACGTATTAATTCTGTGGCTGAAATCTTGTAAAGGGAGCTGACTGCGCTGTTTTAAATGGCAGCAAATTAACTCAAGTTTACAACTCTTTACATTTTTACTGATGTCTATATTCCTGAGCACTGAATGGTGAACTGTAGCATAGTTATTTAAATGAACTGAACACCAATGGTAACAATCAAGTGTATGGCTACAAACAATAAGGTCTTCCCAGACAGTCTATTAACTAAATGAAAGTCATTTTCTCAAAAGGTTGCCAGATCCCTGAATGTATAGCTCCATCTAGTGGTTGGCACTGCCCATATATCATGTGTGTGATGTTATAACTGTATGCTGCACTTGTGTTCTGATACCATAGTATGAAATTCAGAATTTCACAATACATCAGTATGAAGTATTTATCTTAATATGTAACACTAAAGATATATATATACATGTCAGACGCTAGATTGTAACATTAACACACATTGCCTTCTCTGAATTTTAGACTTTATTTTCATACCTTCCAAGACACACTGAGGATTTATTCTCTACAGTGAAGAAGCTGACTTCTACTATAGAAAGCTTTTGGTTTTTCTTTACTGCTTAATTTATCCCTTGCCTTCCTCCATAGCTATTACATAATTAACAATGAGTGGCCTTGTTGCCACTATTCTGTAGAGGTGGTAAGTCTTGGCTTTACTCTTGTGGATCATAAGTAAGTAAGTAATAAATATGTACTGTCTGGAAACAGCTGTTTCTGTTTCAAAGATGAAAAAGTGAAATATCTATTTAATTTTTCTGTTCATTTAAATCCTTTACAACTAACACCTTTGCGAAGACTACTCTGTAAGGGGACCTCATAGAATTTTTAAAAATAATTTCCCCCTGATTTGACTTACAAAAGAAGGGTGCTAATGTCTGTGTATATATTGTTGTTGATAGGATGATGAAAAAACATAACCATGTGCTCCAACTACTAATTGTGCTATTGAAAAGATTGATATGAAACTCAAATAAATATTGTCGCATTATATTGCATTGTGTAATTGAAAGACAAATATTTAAGAGTTGTTTTAGACAGGCAGCTATGATGCCGTGTTTGTCATTTGGTAGTGATCTAGTTGACGAGATTATGATCACAGGGGCATTATGTCAGGATAAGTCAGTTTAAATATCTACCCAGAAACACAAGTTTGTCCCAGAGTGCTTTACAATTTGTACAGCATATGCCATTTCTTCACATACCCATATATTTGTGAGCTATGTCAGCTTGAGCAGTAAACTACTAGAGGATGACAAAGGTTTTCTATTTGCAGTGGTGCAGGCCTGTAATCCATAATGTCAAGTAATCCTGTTTTGCTGAAACTGACCCAACAGGGCCAGTTTGGTCTCACCTGATGCTGCAAGTGGCATTTCCTGCTAGCAGAGGATACTCTTAACATGATTATCTCGTGATGTCATGTTTATAAAGATTCAATTTTGACACCTGGGCCTCACAGAGATGCCTGTGAGAACAAAACTATATTTTTTAAATCAGCCCCTTTGTATTTACTCTGTGTAGTGTACACATGATAAGCCGTGTCAAATTGTGGAAAGGTAATGTAAGCTGGAGTGAGATCTTAGGTTGAGACTGGGCACATTAGCATGGAGTGTGTGGGCTTCAGTAACGGAAAACATTGTTAAAAAACAAAACACTTGTGCGGTCTCCCACAATTCTGCATTGGAAAATCTTGTCGGGTTCTCAGTACAAACCACATTTCCTCATGATGCAGCGCTAGTGCAGTTTTGTGTGGATTTGGAGATTTGTTGAGGCAAAGTCTCCATATACCAAACACTCGGCCATGCACATAGATAGTTTGTGCATTCTTGTTTGTGCTATATTGTTTCCAAATGACCTAGCTGTTTGTCTTTGATGCACGTTTTCCTTCTCTGTTTTCCCACAGCTCCAGATTACTTAAGAGACACTGTTGGTTCAGAGTGATCTATCATTGTCACCCACTTAGGAAAATGGGCATAACGTTTAAAGAGTTTGGATGTTCTCCAACATTTCGGCTACAGCGAGTCTATGGAGTCTGTCAGTCCCTTTTGTCTTCATCAGCTATAGGGGGATGGCTCTCATTTCCTGCAGATGTCATGCAGACTATGATGCAGAAAAAGGACACAATGATTCTGACAAGATAGACACACACACACACACAACTCAGAGATTGCATACATTAGCATGTGGTTTACACCCAATTACCAAAAGAGACCCGTAAGGGAGAATAAGAAGAAGCTGGAGATTCACCAATACCCTGTGTCGAGGCCTCTTTGCGTCACAAGTACACACACTACTTACACCCTCCATCTTCATCACATTGTAGCTGTAGGGGCAATATTTCAGTGAGACAGCTCAAGAAGTTACCTAAGAACACATGTTGCAAAGTCGTTTATCTATCGACCATGAGCGTGTGTTTGCATGTGCAGAGATGAAGTATAAAACGGATGGATATATGCAGATTTATTATGGAAAGCATTCCAGGAAAGGGTGCAAACAAAATGTTCTGATGCCATCTCTAAATACTAAATGAATACATGTGATTCTGTTTAGTTCTGTATGTTCCCTTGCATGTCAGCGTGCTATCGCACACTTGAGTTATGGGTTTTCTGAGACTGTAAGGCGTTTGATGAAGAAAAATGTATTCTGGTGTAACAGAAGCTTTTGTCTTAGTAAGTGCACCTGTGTTTAATATGTGCAGATATACTAAAGGCCTCAGTTGTGGTGATCGAATAGTGCGGTGACTTTAGCATAATAGATGTGTGGGAAAGGACCACTGTGACGCATTTTGTGCTGAATATAACAAGCCTGAAGGTGCACAAGTCTGGGTAAAAGATCTGTCTTCATGTCTGGAAGACAGTAAGTGTTTTGTCCCAAAATTGAAGTACATCACTGTCTGAGGATTGGGTCATTGTCTGGCCATTGTAGCTGACTAGACTTGCCTGAAGCCTTCTGAACATACAGACAAAATATTGGGGAGAATGAATATGACGTTTATGTCCATCACAATTACAGACACTGCAAAAGCGGTTTAGATTAGGTTATATGACAGCGCTTGTCAGCTGTTAAAGCGATCCTGGAAATGGATTTCAAAGCAACATTACAATCGACCAAGATCTGAAGAGTCTAAATTAATTGTACACAAACTGCAGGTGTATTTACCAGAAACTTTGGTCCAGAGCAGAACCAGTTATTTATTAGATCTGGTTCCTAAATCTTAAATTTACGTTCATACTCTGACTCACCTCTCAACAAGATTGCGTTTGGCATGCAACACATTAGCTCTGGCCTTAAATGTGTTTGACAGATTTCTACAGCGATCAAAGGCATGGGGAAAGAGGTAGCGTGTGTAGATAACTATAGCACTGGACGTCAAGGCTTAGGAGCCTTAAGGCCAGCACTCCAGCATAAATCGAAACCTAATAACTTGGTTAAAAAATGCTTTTATTTAGCATTTACATGGACGCTTCTTCTAGCCATGTATCATTTATTACGTATTTTATTGCTTATTTCTTATCCTTACGTTATTCATGGTATTTTGTGATTATCATGCATTGTTTGGCTCCTGTGACAGTGCAGTGTCCCTTTGGGATTAATATAGTGCTAATCTAAAGGTCCTTCAAAGCACTCATATTGCACTAAATCAATAGGAAAGCCTTTTACTTCTGGGAATACAAAGTCAAACTTCTATTACACAACAAGGTAGTGTCAGTAGTAACGCAAGTATCGCAAGTAGACAAAGCTCCATTTTAAGGGGTCACAAGCCAAAAATGGAACCCCTGTCTTGAAGCAGACTGTGTTTTGAGCTGCGTTTGCCTTGAAGGACAGATCTGCTATGCCATTACATTAAGTTGGTGGTTCTCAAGCTGGGGCGCTGGCCCCCTTGGGTGGGTGTAGAGCTACTGCAGGTTGGGTGAGAAGGTAGCATGAATACAATTCATGTGGTGACAAATATGAGCAAGGCTACTTTTGCTAATCTAAATCTTTTGTTTGTTTGATTTGCTCATATATATAAAGATTTAATCTACCTTTGATGGGCTAAACTTTTTTCAGCTTCTGAAAGGGGGGGGGGGGGGGGCGTAAAGTTTAGGAACCAATGATGGCGAATTAAAGCTCTTTGCAAGGAGCCAGATCTTATAGCAGCGTTCCTTTCTTTTTTTAGGGGCTGATTCATTTGTGCAACACTCAACATCAGAAAACATTTAAACTCCACCCAGCTGATGCGACACCAGCTATGCCGAGATATTAATCGAGTGGTCAAGCTAACACGCTGTGAGTAACAGTTTGTGACTGGAGTGGTAATGTTACTGGTACACTGTTCACTTAATGGGAAGTGGTTTTAGGTCAGGACGTGAAATTTAGGCACAAATTGACAACAATAAAAAAAATAAAAAACTTTCACAAAGTAAAACTTGGTTCCCCTTTATTCATACCAAGGAGCTGTTGAAAAGATTTGGATTGTTCATGAAAGTAAAGTCACTAAATTATGATGAATGCTGATTGCTTAATTCACCTTGGGGGCTGGGGTTTGTAGCCCAAATAAGTGACAAAGATGGTGCCTAGCATAAACCTAACTTTTTGGCAGCTTTAGGTTTTACGGGTCATTCTGAAATAACTAACTACTGTTTTTTTTGCTTGTTTGTTTTTTTTTTGTGAGTTTTGCTGCATGGATCTAAGGATGGCAATTTCAGTCTGTTGGCTTGCTATCAACATTTTTATTTATCCAATATCTGCATATTTAATGACATTAGACCCAGCTGTACTTACTAAACATGCTAATGAACGTGGTAATTTCATAAGACTGTATCCCAGACATGATGTTGCAGTATTTAAACACAACTGTAACAGGTCACCTAGTGATGTGAAATGAGGGCTGTGAGTGCGTACCCCACGCTGTTCCCCCACAGTTGAGAAATTGATGTGGTTTCTGAGGTATGTATGTGTGTGTTTCACAGCATGTGTGGAAGGATCTTTGTCCATGGGAGAATGCGTTTAGATGGAAACAAACTTCAGAAAGTGTTTCAAGACAGCATTTCAAAAGCTGTCTGATAATGATGATGAGTGTCACGTTGATGTGGGTGTTGATTGATACATAACAGATGGCGGGGTGGCCGCAAGGTTACACAGCCACATTGTGATGTATTGCGCAGGTACCATAGCGGTACCTGGGGAACCAGTGATAAAGCAGGAATTTGTATAGATATAGAAACATGAGACTGAGTATCCATGCCCTCTGACTGAGACTTCCTGTGAAAAATCATAAAGTCACTGAACTTCTATTGTGTACTTGACCAGCATCAACCGCTGTGATAAATACTGACAGTTCAATCAGCATGCTTACATGATCGAGGCTTGTGTATCAACATGTTTGTGTAACACCCATTCTTTGTACTGGATAGATTGTGATTTGTGGTATGTGATCAGATTTGCTTACATTACCGTTGTGCTTGTTTCGCAGCGTGAGAGGAGTGTCTGCTGGGTCAAAAGCATGCGTTTCAAAGTGATGGATGTGGTGTTGCTTATATGTGGTGAAGCGGGCCAACAGGGCTATGGAGTTTCACGCTTCAAGTATGTCAGGAGCGCTGGGCTTTTAACATGGCTCCTTTGGCATTCACTGATGGTGTCGTTACACTGTAATTTATATGGGCTGAGTAGTGTTTCTGTTCAAAGCAATGGTGGGAGTCAGTAAACTTTTACAAGCTGGCTGTAGTCTGTCTCTACAACCTATGGATTATTCTGTCAGGTGGTTAGCATGCATGCAGAACTGCTAAACACTCAGCTTTGTAGGGTTTTGTGTATAAGAATGCATCTTAAAAAGGGAAAAGCTGCAACTAGACAGAATACACTGCAACAGCCTATAATTTTATAATAAAGACACGTTTTTGGTTTGTTTGTATGAATGCATGTACATGGGGTGTGCAGTTTTTAGGATTATGTATGTCACTTGCTTGTGAGGCTTCCACATGATATCAATATCATGTACCTTTCCGGTCAAT